TTGTGTCTGTCTGTCTGTGTCTGTCTGTCTGTGTCTGTCTGTCTGTCTGTCTGTGTCTGTTCTGTCTCTGTCTCTCTCACAGACACAGACACAGAGAGACCCAACAATTAATATTTCACTGATAACTCATTACAATTGTGACTGGGTGTGGCCATGTGAATTGCTCATTACTTTATAATTTGTTCATGATTGTAACCATGTATAAATATAAGTAAATTTACTTACATGATTCATTATCTTTGTACCTTGTTCAGCTATCAAAACTTGGGGCCCAGTCCCTGGACTCATTATGTATCTCTGTAATCTGTAAATACCTTAATAATAATAATATATCTTTATTTACTACATGTACAAGGTATACAGGTCTAGCCGACATCAATGACATATACTATATAGAAAGCCCCTTGTTATGCAGAGCATTTCGGGCAAATTAGGTCAGTTTTGTCCCAGGTGCGACCCACACCAGTCGACTAACACCCAGGTACCCATTTTAAACTGATGGGTGAACAGGGACAGGGACGGACAGCAGGTGTCTTCTGGAAACACGTCCCTAGTGTTTTCCAGCCGTACTGAAGGAGATTTGAACCCCAGACCACAGTTTGTGAGATGAGTGTGCTAGCGATTGAGCTACAGGACACCCTTTTGTAATTTGTCATGACTGATCAGATCTACCTGGAATTCATTACCTTTGTAACTTGCTCAGCTATCAAAACTTTGTGGCCTAGTTACTGGACCCATTATGTACCTCTGTACTCTCTTGACTACTGCCCACAGGATGGGTATGGGGTGCATAATAAAGATGTTAAACTAAAAAAATATCAAATTAGTCCTAATACATTACTGTATTGAAACGAGTCAGGTTTATCTGTGAGAGGAAAGCAGGAAGGAGAGAAACTAGCAGTAAAGAAAGATGGAATGAGTACGAGGCCTGTATGGAGGTGACGATGGTACAAACATTATTGTAAATGATTTTTTCCCCACTGGTCTCCTGAAGAGGAAACCAGTGGGATAAAGGGTTCCCTGTTATATATAACTAAGGAAGAGTCTGAATCAATATGGCAGAAGGGTAGTTAATGATTTTGTGATGTACAGGTGCTAATGGTCTGGCCAACCCCAGGGATTTCCTTACCCCTGTTGCATGGTATGAGGACCGTGATGTTGATGGCTTCCGCATCATTTCCAAATACCAGGTATGCAATACTTCCATGTGTATTGACAGTAAACAGATGATCACTTATATTTAGGTTGCTGTATAAAAATACTAGCAAGCAATTCTGCTTATGTTACCTACAAAATGATAACAACACTTATTTATACAATATTGAAATGAAAAGCTTCACTACTGATTTATTGAAATAAAAGCTTGATTAACAGAATCTACAGTTAACTATTCTGGACTTTTACTTTTCTGTACTCTGTCCATAATGAAGGCAGAGTATATATCCAATGTACCCAAAATGAGTACTGTGCAATACTTTCTATTAAATTGTTGCATATTAAAGAGTAACAAAGCCTAAGAGAAGCTGTAAAGTGCTTCCCATCAGTGAAAAATTGCTAATTCTCCCCTTATTGTGCTCAGGTTATCAATTAAACTTTATTGTAAGTCTGTAAACAAAAAACAGCTTGTATATAGGGTTTGCTACTATCTGTGGTTTCGGGTATCCACAGTAGGTCTTGGAACATATCCCCCGCGGATACGAGGTGAGGTGGGGAGACTACTGTATTGTAGCTTAATTCTTTTGGCAAGATACTTATATTTTTTAAATAGACAGTAGTTAAGCAATAGGAAATAATAGTTCTTTTATACAGGGACATCTGTTTGAGGCACTACAGGGCCATTCTCCCTTCGATGTTGTAGCCTGGCATGGTAATTATGTGCCTTACAAGTACAATCTTAAGCACTTCATGGTGATCAATGCTACAGCCTTCGATCATGCTGTACGTCATGGTAAAACCTTCACATGGTTTCTGCTTTTTATTAAAGATTTCAGCCCAATTCATCTTTAATTAAACAAGACTAATAAACTGACAAGATATTGATATATTCAATAATGCAACATTGTTTTCAAGCAAATTTACAAGAACATTTCATGAAGTTAAACACGAGTAAATATGTATGTACACTTGTAGTTAGTGTAATTTGTTACTGTTTATAAATTTGAGAAATTCTAATAGTACTGTCCTTGTGGATTATGCAGGATCCATCCATCTTCACGGTATTGACATGTCCCGGTACCAAACCTGGAGTGGCAATTGCAGACTTTGTCATCTTTCCTCCACGCTGGGCTGTTCAGGAGCATACATTCCGCCCACCATACTACCATCGTTAGTATCGGGTTAGGATAGGAAGGAATATAGTGAAGGCAGGCATTGCAGTGATGCTGTAGCAATGTTAATGGAATGAGTGAATTTAGATGAAGATTGTAGGGAGAAAGTTTATATTAAAGGTAACTATTAAGAGCATGAGTGAGATGTGTTAGATTACTTTTTATTGAAAAGATAAGACATGAAAATGAGAGATAAAAGTAAACAAAGAAATCAGTAGTTTACAAGAAGGTAAGATAGGCAGTATCACTATCAGCTGAAACTGAGGTGGTGGTTATTATTATTATAATCAAAAAGAAGCGCTAAGCCACAAGGGCTATACAGCGCTGCAAGAGGTGGTGGTTAAGGAATAAGAGAAGAGGGATTGTGTGGAAGAAAAAGTATGGTTAGAGTTGCAAGAAGGGAATATAAATCGTTTTATTTAAGACTTAATGTTTTTAACTAATTATCATAAATGGAAATTTAGTTTAATATTGGAAATTTCATATCTATTGTTGCTATACAGTATACACGGTTCAACTATTTGTGGTTGCAGCGGTCAATTTTCAGATCCTGGTCCTGCCTCCTAACTTGCCCCACTCCAGATTCACTCCTTTGTAGCCTCCTGGGCCCCTGTCATACCTACTATTTATACTGTGTATGGAGCCTGCCTCCACCACTTCCTCGACAAGATCATTCCATACACGATAAGTACGATAAGGCTTTTGAAGCTAGTAGAGTGGACCTAGTTGTGACCAACAAAGGCAGGGCCAGATGTGACTAATGCAACCACATATCAGTGAGTACACATATGTACAGTATATACAATGGACTCTCTGTTATCGGTGGGTTTTTCGGCGCCCGGTTATCGGCTGTTTTGGACGCGTCCGTCCACTGGCTGGGGCAGCTTGGACTTCAGTTTGGCTCTCTCTCGGTGGCTGAGGAAGCTTCTGCTCATACATCCATTATTATTATTATTATTATAATCAAGGGGAAGCGCTAAACCCGGAGGATTATACAGCGCCTGGGGGGGATGTGGAAGGCATTCAGGCTTAATTCGGGGAACTGGAGCACAGATCCAATTCCCTAAATCAAGAGCCCCTCACCAACATCAAGGAACCTTCCTTGAGGGGTGCTCATACATCCAAACATTTCGCTTGTTTACCATTGTTTTTAGTGATTTTTCTTGCAGTGCAACTGTGAAATAAGTAAAGGTGGCTCCAAAGAAAGTTCCTAGTAAAGTTCCTGTGGTAAAGAAAGTGAGAAATGCCATGGAATTAAAGCATGAAGTAATAGAAAAGTTTGAGTGGTATGAAGGTGATGGACCTTGCCAGGATGTACAGCAAGAATAAATCAACAATTACATCCATCCTGGCAAAGAAAGAACAAATCAAAGACACTAATGTTGCAAAAGGAGTAACTTTTCTAACTAAACAAAGGCCACCAATAATGGAAGAGATGGAAAAGTTATTATTATTGTGGATTAAAGATAAAGAATTAGTGTGAGACAGTGTTGTGGAGATGATCATTTGTGAGAAGGCAAAGCAGTTGCATGAGGATATTTCTTATGGGAAATATTAATTTGGTTATCAGCCGACCTTCTGGAACGGATTACGGCCAATAACCGGGGGTCCACTGTATATTTAATTTTACTTTAAATTTTTTTTATTTATAATTAAAAATTTAATGCACCTGAAGTCTCCCAAGGAGGCAAGGGGACCTGAAAAAAAAAAGAAAACACACTGTCATTCAGTTAGTGTCTTGCCAAAAGAATATTGACATCATGGTTCAGTTGGCCCTTTGAGCTGCAACATTCCACCCTGTCCTGTGTACAGGGACTCTCCATATTGTTTCCTTTACATCTAAAGTTCTGTTGACATTTGTTTATACAATACACATTTTATGCAGGCAATTGTATGAGTGAATTTATGGGCTTGATTTATGGAAACTACGAGGCCAAAGAAGAAGGTTTTAAGCCAGGTGGGGCCTCCCTACACTCGATGATGACGCCCCATGGGCCTGATGTCGACTGCTTTAATGGTGCCTCCACAGCAGAGCTAACCCCAGTCAGAGTTGCTGATGGAACACAGGTAAATTTTGCTACAATAGTGAGCATGTTCCATATAACTTGTCTTAGAGGGATAAATTTTAATTTAGTGTTTGACATAGGATATTTCCACCAGCTGCAGAGGTTTTTTATTATTAGTTCTGGAAAATTCTTTTCATACATAAATATATATATATTTTTAATTTGTATAGATGTTATTTGTAGGACCCTATGTATATGCATCAAACTGGGATTTTTTTTATTACGTATATCCATCAATTTTTTTTTATAATAAGTCTGCCGTCTCCCACCGAGGCAGGGTGACCCAAAAAGAAAATACTTTCATCATTCAACTCTTTCACCTCGCTCACACATAATCACTGTTTTTGCAGAGGTGCTCAGAACACAACAGCTTAGAAGCATATACGTATAAAGATACACAACATATCCCTCCAAACTGCCAATATCCCGAACCCCTCCTTTAGAGTGCAGGCATTGTACTTCCCATTTCCAGGACTCAAGTCCGGCTATACAAAAATAACCAGTTTCCCTGAATCCCTTCACCAAATATTACCTTGCTCACACTCCAACAGATTGTCAGGTCCCAAATACCATTCGTCTCCATTCGCTCCTATCGAACACACTCACACATGCCTGCTGGAAGTCCAAGCCCCCTCACCCACAAAACCTCCCTTACCCTTTCCTTCCAACCTTTTCGAGGACGACCCCCTACCCCGCCTTCCTTCCCCTACAGATTTAAATGCTCTCCATGTCATTCTACTTTGATCCATTCTCTCTGAATGACCAAACCACCACAACAACCCTTCTTCAGCCCTCTGACTAATACTTTTATTAACTCCACACCTCCTAATTTCCACACTCTGAATTTTCTGCACAGTATTTACACCACACATTGCCTGTAGACAGGACATCTCCACTGCCTCCAACCGCCTCCTCGCTGCTGCATTCACAACCCAAGCTTCATACCAATATAAGAGTGTTGGTACTACTATACTTTCATACATTCCCTTCTTTGCCTCCACATATACCTCAATGCACCACTCACCTTTTTTTCCCTCATCAATTCTATGATTAACCTCATCCTTCGTAAATCCATCCGCCAACACATCAACTCCCAAGTATCTGAAAACATTCACTTCTTGCATACTCCTCCCCAATTTGATATCCAATTTTTCTTTATCTGAATCGTTTGATACCCTCATCACCTTACTCTTTTTCTATGTTCACTTTCAACTCTACCTTTACACACACTCCCAAACTCGTCCACTAACCTTTGCAATTTTTCTTGAGAATCTCCCATCAGCAAAAACCAACTGTGTCAATTCCCATTTTGAATTCGATTCCCCATAATTTAATACCACCCCTCTCCCAAACACCCTAGCATTTATGTACTTCTTTTACAACCCCATCTATAAATATATTAAACCACCATGGTGACATTACACATCCCTGTCTAAGACCTACTTTTACCGGGAAGTAGTCTCCCTCTCTTCTACACACCCATCAATAATATTAACTCAAATTTCAGGTCATGACATTGATTTTATCTGTTCATAGTGTGTTTTACATCACCTCTAGTTTCAAATTGTTGGTACTTTTTTTTTTTTTTTTTAGATAAAAAAAAAATAAATACTGGCCTGAATACAGTGCTACCTTAAGTTGCTAGTGTGGTATCAGTTTTGCTACTTCTAAAGATCTAATGTACAGTAATTTCTGTGTTGTTTCTGTTGTCCTTTTAGTCTCGTTTTATATTTGCTTTCCTGTCTCATTATTAATGTAGCTTTTGGAGTATGTTGAGTGGCTTAACATTATTGTCTCCTACAGTCCTTCATGTTTGAGACTTCACTGGGATTGGGCCTGACACAGTGGGGTGAAGAAACTTGCCGTAAAATTGACTCTGACTACTACAAGTGTTGGCAAGGTCTCAAGAAGAGTTTTGACTTAAACTGGAAACCAACTCCAAAGAAGTAATAATATTTTTTGTGAAACCTTGGAATTACCTATGTATCAGTATATTGATACTTTGTCTTTTTGTACTGTTTTTGTTGCCCCAATATGCACGTATGCAAGTTATTGTTAATTAGCCATTGTAACTTGAGGGCCACCATTTTTGTCTACTTTCATCTTTACTTTATAGTACTATAGTTTGTGCGTATTAAAATTTTGCTTTACTACACTGAAATTCAACTAATCCACATTTATGTATAATGACTTAAAATTTATTTTTATTTGCTACTTGGAGTGACTTCTGAACTGTTATATCTGTGCACCTCTACAAAGACTGATTATGCATGAATGATAAGTTTTTCTTTCTTGGGTCACCCTACCTCAGTGGGAGATAGGCAGTGTTTTGAAAAAAAAAATTAGTTTTTTAACTCTACAGTCATCTCCCACAAAGGCAGAACGACACAAAGAATAAAACATTCAAGTGATTCTTTCCAGAAGTGTGCTGATATTAATCAGAATTTTATCTTTTAAATCTTTAATTCCTTCCTAATACAGAGGAACCTCGGTACTTTAACTTAATTTGTTCCAGAAGGCTGTTAGAGTACCGAACGAATTTTTCCCAACCAATTTTCTTTTTTGGTTGGCTGTTATCACTAATCTCTGTAGGCTTCATGGTGACTTGTTTATACAAATATAAAAAACACCAAAAAATGTGAAGAAACACGAAATAGTTTACAGTGAAGTTCTGGCAGGTCGTGTTTGTTTGGTAGAGTGCTGAACAAACAGTCGACAACCGAGCAATTTTTTTTACCGAACAAAGTGTTTGAATACCGAATTGTTTGAGTACAAGGTTCCACTGTATTTGGGCTGTAGAGAAAAAATAGTATATTAATTACTTTGGTATTTTGTTAGACTAACTAAATAGTATTTCCAAGTTTATGAACTACTAGCCTTGTTTCAAAAACGTTGAGTTTATTGGCTTGAAGAAATTAAACTATAATGATAATATTACACAAATTTGATGCTATTCACAAAAAATTTAAAGCCTTTTTCAATCCCTTTTAAAACAAAAGCGCTAAGAGTTATACGGCTTGGGGAATGTGGAAGACTTTCGGGTTATTGCAGAAAGTCAATTCCAAAAAATCATAATAAAAATCAAAACTTTTTACGGGTTTCTGCAAATACAGTATAATAGTGTAAATCTAACCAAGACAGGACTCACTGCAGTAGCTTCAAAGTGAATACATTTATTTAAAAAATATACAGAAAACCACCTGTTTGGAAGTAAGAGTTGCATGCAAGTAACATTGCTAAAGAGAAGACTATGATGGCTTCAAAAAAAGGTTGGACAAGTATACGAGAGGAAGTGGTTGAGTGAGAGTCAGACTTGTCTACCATGGACCAGTAATCTCTCCAGTTTTCCTCCTCTGTTTTGCAATATAATTGTGTACTTTTGACATGTAACAAATATTTAAAATCTCAAGAGTTGATGTTGGAGAATTAAGTACAATAAGTCATTAGGTTCTTGGAAACTGCAACTTTAAGCAAAACTACGTATAACGAAACCAAGAGCCCTTCTAATATCCACACCTCACTGTCCACCTTAAAACTTCTAGTTTTGTTTGTCACACTTTGACCAAATATCAGAGGCACACACTGCACCTTTAGCACTTATTACAACAGGGTAAATCAAGGCATAAATAAAATTTTAAGGAGCTCCTCCTACCACCATACAGTTCAGAAACAAACAATAGCAAATGTGGCTTGCTTGCTGAGCACTTTCATACTGCACAGGTAATTGTCATGCATTTATATGATTATCGTATACTTAATTATTTTTTTTTTTTTTAAAGGCTGTATCACTGCACTACATTAATGGGGAAGTACTAAATCCACAAGTCATACAGAGCCTGGAAAATGGGAGGTAATCAGTTTGATTCAATGAAGGGGAGGGTTCCTTGGATCAAGGGTCCTTCACCAGCATAAAGGTCCCTCTCTTTTCCGTTTAGATGATAGATTTAGTAATTTTGTTTTAGTCATGGGGAAATGCTAATCCTGTAAGAATCATGCAGTGCCTTAGGACTGGGAGGTAAACAGGTTTGATCTGAATAAGGGAAAGGTAACCAGATTTTTGTAAAAATAATTTACTTTTTTCTTATGGATTGACAAAATGTATTAATTAGTTTTTAATTTTTAACTAATTTAGTAGACTTGCTCTGCTAGTTTACATGTGTATTAACATGTTAGGCAAGATTTAGTAATATTGTTTTAAGCATTAGTTACAGGGCAAATTTAAAATTTCCAAACGTACAAATTCCACATATCCCGGCTATAAAGCAAGAATTACATTTGATAAACCAGTGAGACCAATTTAAGAACAAATTATTACTTTGTGTGAAATATTAATAGCATGCTTTTTTAACAATATTTGTAAATAAAAATAGGTAATCCTCAGATGTTATTCCTTTTCCTTGTGTTTGAAATTATGTTGGGAATCATAATTATCCAATAACATTTTGATCTTTGTGCAAGTTGCTGTTTCCAACAGCTAAACCACCGTTCCAGTCATGAAAATATGTACTAAAATGGGTATCCTGAAATATCTGCAAGCAAGTGGATCAACTAACTAGATATATAGCTAGAGACCTATTAACCCTTTAAGTGTTCTCCATTCCCCCCAAAATTCACACAATTTTTGTGACCTCAAATTTACTACATGCCACCAATTTTGGCTAGGCTCAACTCTTAGCACCTAGAAAAAAGAAAAATCAGGCCCACACATTGGCTCAGTAGGACATTTACCCAGTGATACTTCAACATGAGAATTTGACTCGTAGAGATAAAGCAGATTTTGCTTCCATGCAACCAGTGAGGAAAGTGATCACAAAAGTGAATTCTCAGGATCTGAACTCAAGAAAATGTGACACCAGAAATGTCAGTCAAAATATTACTATACTGGTAACTTCAGGCTTTGACAGGCAACAACCACTGAGATGAGAGGTGCACAATCAGAAAAATTAGTGATTGGAGCAATGTGTCCTGGACTAGCACTGATAAGTACAGTAATTAAATTATGCTTATCAAGTGCTAAACCCAAAAGGGTCACATAGCTACAGTAATTAAAGAGTGGGCTAAAGCCTAACAGTTTAAGACGACTATTTAAACCAATTTTATTGATATACCATATAAAATATATACATATTGAAGTACACTCTACACTGTTATACAAGTTTTGCATTCAGACAACTGGAGAGGGTCAATTATGCTGCAAAGAATTACACGAGGAAGGAGAATGGGTTAAAAAACAAAAATGGTTAAGAAATACATACGAGTGATCCATCAAATAAATTTCTCTATAAATGTTGATTGTAAATGTATTCTGCTTGCACAAATCAAAGTTAAAAGTCTTTACTAGAAACAGTTTAGATGTTAAATTCAACAAGTATTACATAGGAAGTCTGTATTTTTCATTTGAGAATACTTTTATACCCTTCTACCGTGTATTAACTTGATCTCAGCACCTGGTAAAATCATAACTAAAATGATGACTAAATAATGAACACAAACCTTATCATAGGATAATCAATGAATAAGATATTTTGGAGCTTGAACCTTGGAGGATTTATGAGAAGCTGATGTAATGGCTCCAGTTCTTTGTGGTAGCTTTGTCTTCACTTGGGAGCCACTTGCAGTATGACTTGAAGCCTTAGGCTTTAATGCAGAACCTGAACCTACAGAACTGGGATTCACATCCACTGGTAATTTTAATCCTCTAGCAATCTGTGATCTAGGCACTCCTTTGGTTGATGCTACCAAAGATGAACGCATATCCTTGGTTAATTTAGAGTCTGTGGTCTCTCTTGAAGTTACTGGGTGCTTGAGTGAAAACTTTTGAGGTTCTTTTGGAGTTTTAAGTTTCTTTGTTTCAACTGTTTCTAGTAACTTTACAGGTTCAGTATCAAAGTAGTATTTGGAATTAGGTTTTACAGAGTTACTCTTCAAAGTGTTTATATTCTTTTGGATTAATGGCTGAGGAACTAATGATCTTCTACTAGGAAGGCTCGAAACTCCAAGAACAGGCCGCAGTGGAGTTTTCTTTCCATGAAGTGCACGAGGTCTATTATTAACTTGAGACATAATCTGCTTACAACTTGGATCACTTTTTCTTTTGTTTTCTTTACCCTTGACCATGGATCGGTTAATTACTGGTAGTGTTCTGGTATCGGTGGCATCCTTTGTCTTTGTTGTACCCACAAGTTTCTCTCCTAATTTCAAAGCAGAATTATTTGTGTTATTTTTATCTGTAGCATCTTTAACACTAAGAGTTGACAAAGGGACTCTTGTACCATGAGGAGATTCACTCCTACATCTTATTATTTTTACTTTATCTTGCATAACCTGTGAGGACTTGTTGTACACTCCAATGGATCTCTCAGTAATTAAACTCTTTCTACTTAATGGTTTCATAGCCTGTAAACTGTGTTTTCTGTTTTCAGCTGCTTTATGATGTTTCGATGTATTACACTCAGTCTTTGCATCAACATTAATTTTATTATTAGACTTGCATGATGCTCTCATTTTACCTTCTCCTTTTGACTGACATTCTGCATCATTATTGTGGAACAGTCGATTCTCCCCGTCACCAGTTTTCAGTCCTAATTCCTTACCATTATGGCTCTCCAATTGAACACTCTCAGTACAAGTCCTCAGTGCTGGCTTCTCACCATTAACAAGAGCATCATTCAGCTGATTTTGATCAGCTGAATTAAAGGCCTCCATTATATTCTTTGGTTGAAGATCCATGTCAGTGGCCAAATTTTTAGCATCAATAACTTCAGATTTAACATGGAGATCACCTCCAATTGATAAAGCCAATTTTTGCTTTTCAGTAAAACCTGAAGTTTTTTGTTGTGCTTCAGCATTGTCACAAGCTTCCTGAATTACATTTTTGGTTGTATTTTTACTTACATTGCTCACATGAGCAGTTTCTTCTCTTGGTATATCTTGGTTTGAGCTTTTAATTGTTGCTCCTCCGTGATCAAATACTTTACAATCCTTTTTTTGTATATGTGCAACACCAGTACAAACTTTTTCATCTATACTGGTGTCCACTTGAGCTTTAGACATTTTCCCTTGTCCAAAAGATTCAGGATTATGATAATTCTCTACCAACTGTTTCTGATGTGAGGAAATTTGCTTGAAGTTACTGGTACTCTGGTCATGCAAGTTTGCCATCATTTTACCATCTTTACTAGACTCTTGAGAGAATTCTTGCCACAATGGAGTACCTGTTATAAAAGGTAATAATAATTTATGTTGAATCTTAAAATAGTAAATTATGCAGACTCCTAAAACAAAATGTCAAAAAAATATTTAAATGTAATGATGAAATTGAAATTATCTGTAATAAAATTAACAATTCTAGGTAGTAGGTTGGTCGACAGCAACCACCCAGGGAGGTACTACCGTCCTGCCAAGTGAGTGTAAAATGAAAGCCTGTAATTGTTTTACATGATGGTAAGATTGCTGGTATCTTTTTTTTCCATCTCAAAAATATGCATATATATATATAAACACACACACAGACCCTCCTGGGTTTTCTTCTATTTTTCTTACTAGTTCTTGTTCTTGTTTATTTCCACTTATCTCTATGGGGAAGTGGAACAGAATTCTTCCTCTGTAAGCCATGCATGTCGAAAGAGTCAACTAAAATGCCAGGAGCAAGGGGCTAGTAACCCCTTTTCCCGTATGTATTACTAAATGTAAAAGGAGAAACTTTTGTTATTCTTTTTGGGCTACCCCGCCTTGGTGGGATATGGCCGGTGTGTTGAAAGAAGAAGAAAATTAACAACGAACTAAATATATGCTAGCTTTCCTTTGCAGTCTTTCACTACTGCAACTCCTAAAGGGAGGTTTCCTTGACAATGGTGAGGGCCTTTTTTTTTTTTTTTTTTTTTATTATTACACTGGCCGATTCCCACCAAGGCAGGGTGGCCCAAAAAAGAAAAACTTTCACCATCATTCACTCCATCACTGTCTTGCCAGAAGGGTGCTTTACACTACAGTTTTTAAACTGCAACATTTACACACCTCCTTCAGAGTGCAGGCACTGTACTTCCCATCTCCAGGACTCAAGTCCGGCCTGCCGGTTTCCCTGAACCCCTTCATAAATGTTACTTTGCTCACACTCCAACAGCACGTTAAGTATTAAAAACCATATGTCTCCATTCACTCCTATCAAACATGCTCACGCATGCCTGCTGGAAGTCCAAGCCCTTCGCACACAAAACCTCCTTTACCCCCTCCCTCCAACCTTTCCTAGGCCGACCCCTACCCCGCCTTCCTTCCACTACAGACTGATACACTCTTGAAGTCACATAGTTTCGCTCCATTCTCTCTACATGTCCGAACCACCTCAACAACCCTTCCTCAGCCCTCTGGACAACAGTTTTGGTAATCCCGCACCTCCTCCTAACTTCCAAACTACGAATTCTCTGCATTATATTCACACCACACATTGCCCTCAGACATGACATCTCCACTGCCTCCAGCCTTCTCCTCGCTGCAACATTCATCACCCATGCTTCACACCCATATAAGAGCGTTGGGTTTAAAACTATACTCTCATACATTCCCCTCTTTGCCTCCAAGGACAAAGTTCTTTGTCTCCACAGACTTGTAAGTGCACCACTCACCCTTTTCCCCTCGTCAATTCTATGATTCACCTCATCTTTCATAGACCCATCCGCTGACACGTCCACTCCCAAATATCTGAATACATTCACTTCCTCCATACTCTCTCCCTCCAATCTGATATCCAATCTTTCATCACCTAATCTTTTTGTTATCCTCATAACCTTACTCTTTCCTGTATTCACCTTTAATTTTCTTCTTTTGCACAACCTACCAAATTCATCCACCAATCTCTGCAACTTCTCTCCAGAATCTCCCAAGAGCACAGTGTCATCAGCAAAGAGCAACTGTGACAACTCCCACTTTATGTGTGATTCTTTATCTTTTAACTCCACGCCTCTTGCCAAGACCCTCGCATTTACTTCTCTTACAACCCCATCTATAAATATATTAAACAACCACGGTGACATCACACATCCTTGTCTAAGGCCTACTTTTATTGGGAAATAATTTCCCTCTTTCCTACATACTCTAACTTGAGCCTCACTATCCTCGTAAAAACTCTTCACTGCTTTCAGTAACCTACCTCCTACACCATACACCTGCAACATCTGCCACATTGCCCCCCTATCCACCCTGTCATATGCCTTTTCCAAATCCATAAATGCCACAAAGACCTCTTTAGCCTTATCTAAATACTGTTCACTTATATGTTTCACTGTAAACACCTGGTCCACACACCCCCTACCTTTCCTTAAGCCTCCTTGTTCATCTGTTATCCTATTCTCCGTCTTACTCTTAATTCTTTCAATAATAACTCTACCATACACTTTACCAGGTATACTCAACAGACTTATCCCCCTATTAATTTTTGCACTCTCTTTTGTCCCCTTTGCCTTTATACAAAGGAACTATGCATGCTCTCTGCCAACCCCTAGGTACCTTACCCTCTTCCATACATTTATTAAATAATTGCACCAACCACTCCAAAACTATATCCCCACCTGCTTTTAACATTTCTATCTTTATCCCATCAATCCTGGCTGCCTTACCCCCTTTCATTTTACCTACTGCCTCACAAACTTCCCCCCCACTCACAACTGGCTCTTCCTCACTCCTACAAGATGTTATTCCTCCTTGCCCTATACACGAAATCACAGCTTCCCTATCTTCATCAACATTTAACAATTCCTCAAAATATTCCCTCCATCTTCCCCAATACCTCTAACTCTCCATTTAATAACTCTCCTCTCCTATTTTTAACTGACAAATCCATTTGTTCTCTAGGCTTCCTTAACTTGTTAATCTCACTCCAAAACTTTTTCTTGTTTTCAAAAAATTTGTTGACAACATCTCACCCACTCTCTCATTTGCTTTCTTTTACATTGCTTCACCATTCTCTTAACCTCTCTCTCTTTCTCCATATACTCTTCCCTCCTTGCATCACTTCTACTTTGTAAAAGCTTCTTATATGCTAACTTTTTCTCCCTTACTACTCTCTTTACATCATCTTTCCCACCAATCGCTCCTCTTCCCTCCCGCACCCACTTTCCTGTAACCACAAACTTCTGCTGAACTTAACACTACATTTTTAAACCTACCCCATACCTCTTTGACCCCATTGCCTATGCTCTCATTAGCCCATCTATCCTCCAATAGCTGTTTATATCTTACCCTAACTGCCTCCTCTTTTAGTTTATAAACCTTCACCTCTCTCTTCCCTGATGCTTCTATTCTCCTTGTATCCCATCTACCTTTTACTCTCAGTGTAGCTACAACTAGAAAGTGATCTGATATATCTGTGGCCCCTCTATAAACATGTACATCCTGAAGTCTACTCAACAGTCTTTTATCTACCAATACATAATCCAACAAACTACTGTCATTTCGCCCTACATCATATCTTGTATACTTATTTATCCTCTTTTTCTTAAAATATGTATTACCTATAACTAAACCCCTTTCTATACGAAGTTCAATCAAAGGGCTCCCATTATCATTTACACCTGGCACTCCAAACTTACCTACCACACCCTCTCTAAAAGTTTCTCCTACTTTAGCATTCAGGTCCCCTACCACAATTACTCTCTCACTTGGTTCAAAGGCTCCTATACATTCACTTAACATCTTCCAAAATCTCCCTCTCTCCTCTGCATTCCTCTCTTCTCCAGGTGCATACACGCTTATTATGACCCACTTTTCGCATCCAACCTTTACTTTAATCCACATAATTCTTGAATTTACACATTCATATTCTCTTTTCTCCTTCCATAACTGATCCTTCAACATTACTGCTACCCCTTCCTTTGCTCTAACTCTCTCAGATACTCCAGATTTAATCCCATTTATTTCCCCCCACCGAAACTCCCCTACCCCCTTCAGCTTTGTTTCGCTTAGGGCCAGGACATCCAACTTCTTTTCATTCATAACATCAGCAATCATCTGTTTCTTGTCATCTGCACTACATCCACGCACATTCAAGCATCCCAGTTTTATAGTTTTTCTTCTTCTCTTTTTTAGTAAATGTCTACAGGAGAAGGGATTACTAGCCCATTGCTCCCGGCATTTTAGTCGCCTCATACAACACGCATGGCTTACGGAGGAAAGATTCTTTTCCACTTCCCCATGGACAATAGAAGAAATAAAGAAGAACAAGAGCTATTTAGAAAAAGGAGAAAAACCTAGATGTATGTATGTATATATGCATGTGCGTGTCTGTGAAGTGTGACCAAGGTGTAAGTAGGAGTAGCAAGATATCCCTGTTATCTAGCGTGTTTATGAGACAGAAAAAGAAACCAGCAATCCTACCATCATGCAAAACAGTTACAGGTTTCTGTTTCACAGTCATCTGGCAGGACGGTAGTACTTCCCTGGGTGGTTGCTGTCTACCAACCTACTACCTACTCTTGACCCAAAGAATTAGACCTTCCCTCCTTGAGATCAACCCTGACTACCTCCCATTCCCAAAGGCATTGTATGGCTTTTACTAGTTAGCACTCCTACTCCTCCCAGTGAATGTTATAATTTCAGTGTCACACAGCATATTACCTGAAATTCTTAAGAATGCATAAAAAATTACATCAATATACCTGGGGTATACCTGGAGGGTGTTCCAGGGGTCAATGCCCCAACAGCCTGGTCCATGAAAAGGCCTCGAACAATTTTTTTTAAACTCCTGGCCGTCTCCCACCAAGGCAGAGTGACCCAAAAAGTTTTTCTTCTTTTCACATTTAGCGATTTATTCAGAAGGGGTTACTAATCCCTTGCTCCCGGCATTTTAGTAGCTTCTTGCGACATGTATGGCGTACGGAGGAAGGATTCTTCTCCACTTCTCCATAGAGAACAGAACAAAATGCCTTTACTTAACCTATAATGCAAACTTACAGCAAAGTGGTACAGGCACTTCAAATGTGGAAGGCTGCTGATGATTACACATACAAATTTAAAATTATGACTGGATTGTGCAGTAAGAAAAAAGAAAACATAGCAAAGCATTACAGTTTGTCATGTTTGTGGATTTCTAAAGGAGTGACAAAAAAAAAAATTGTTTTATTGTATAAACAAAAAACTCAGAGAACTCAAGAGTGTACACATGAAAGTTTAAATTACTACTGGACTGGACACTAGTAACATAGCCAGGTAAATGAATTCATGTCCCATTTGTCAGGAGTTGTTAGTTAGAGCCTCAAGAGGCTTAAAAAAAAAAAATTGTAATAATAATTACATGGAGGCAAAGAAGTGAGTTTCCTGAGTACAGTGGTACCAACACTCTTGTATGAGTGTGAAGCATGGGCTGCAAATGTTGCAGCAAAGAGAAGATTGTAAGCAGTGGAGATGTCATGTCTAAGGGCGTAAATATTATGCAAAAAATTCGTAGTGTGGAAATTAGGAGATGTGCAGTTACTAAAAGTATTATTCAGAGGGTTTAAGAGGGGTTGTTGAGATTGGTTTGGTCATTTAGAGAGGATGGAGCAAAATAGGATGACTCAGAGGATGTATAAATCTGTAGGAAGGAAGGAGGGGTAGGGGTCATCCTAGGAAAGGATGGAAGGAGGGGGTAAAAGAGATTTTGTGTGCAAGGGGCTTGGACATACAGCAGGCATGTGTGAGCATGTTAGATAGGAGTGGAGATGAACGGTTTTTGGGACTTGATGAGCTGTTGGAGTGTGAGCAGCATATCTTGTGAAGGGATTCAGGGAAACGGTTAGCCGGACTTGAGTCCTGGAGGTGGGAAGTACAATGCCTACACTTTAAAGGAGGGAGTTAGGATATTTGCTATTTGGAGTGACATCTGAACTGTCCTATCTGCACACCTCTGCAAAGACAGTGATTATATGTGAATGATGGTGAAAGTGTTTAATTTCTTTTTTGGGTCACCCTGCCTCGGTGGGAGACAACTAGCATGTTAAAAAAAAAATAATTACCATTATTTTGTTGCTCAGGTAATGAGTCTGTGCTAGCAACACTGACTACACGTGACCGTGACGAAGGGGCAGAAATGGGTGTTGGGGCTGGGCCTTCCATTCCTACCACACGTGAAAATGCCGCACCTCCCATTGCTGGCGTACTTGTGATGCGTGGACCAATAATAGGTCCCTCACATCTGAAAATGTTACAATAATAATAAATAAGCATTAATCCTAGTCATGTACTGTACCAAGATAAAGGCTCTTTTCTAATTTTCTTACATTACCTTTCATAACCCCATTCATATGAAAAACTATGGAAACTGTGGCACAATTCTGGCATACTCCTACATTTAGATATGCTAAGATTCTGAAATGGTCCCACAGTTGTTCATTGAATTAAGCCTACATACAAAAAATTAACAGCTGAACTCACCGAAAGACATCTGGTGTTGACATACCAATACCAGTGATTATGCGTACTTCTGGAGTTCCAGGACGTTCATTTTCTGCAACAGAATAAAATGTTTCACAAGTTATCTGTATCTAAAATACAGTGAACCTGACTCTTTCATTAATTAAAAGCATTTAAAGTATGTACTGTACATAAAAGTTGAAGACTACACATTAAAAAATAGATATGACACACACCTATGCTGCTGACAGATCCAAATGAGGGATGTACAGATTTTCCATTATTACCCAGGCTTCCTGTATCACAGTCTCCCATGTGGATGTGGCTTACACTTTGTAAACCATCTAAAAAAGATAAGCAAACCTTCAATGCTATGCATAAAAAAATTAGTGGTATCCATTCCATAGCAGATTCAGATATTTTGAACCATGATTTGTAATACTCACAGAAATATCATCATTGATACATTGTTGGTTATTGATTAACCTGGGTTAATAACTCTTGCAGTTTTATAGCCCAGATAAATCTAGCAAATTAATTTTTTCTATGAGGTTAAAATTCACTCCCACTATCCAATTCTACTACCCTCAAAGGAGGTTCGTTGATGCTGGTGAGGGGGCTCTTGAACTAAGGAATTGGATCTGTGCTTCAGTTCCCTGAACTGAGCCTGAATGCCTTCCATCCCCCCCCTTCACAGACACTGTATAATCCCTATGGGTTTAGAGCTCCCCCATGATAAAAAAAAAATGTAAATGGAGGACAAACAGGTGAAGGAGGGGTGGGAATATCTGCAGTTTGGATGGGTATCTTAACTGTAGTATCACCATGCCTCTGGCAAGACTGTCATGGTGAAAGTATTCCTTTTTTTTTTTTTTTTTTTTTTTTGGGTCACCCTGAATTGGTGGGAGATGGCTTATGTATTAAAAAAGAAACTGTATATGTATAATGTAAACATCTGAAGTAGTTGTAGCAGAATTATAAACCAGACAACTTCATATATCAGCATTTGATAATGACCCAGGATGAACAGTAACATCTACAAGCTTTTCCTTCTTCTGTGTGGGTTAGTTGCTAATTGTTCTAGCCATTATTGTGACTTATTCTTTGGCTCATAAAATCTTGCATCTCAATCTCTACTTATGTAAAAACCCATCAAATTAATTAATAATCATAATGTTTAGTGCAGTACTTGCAGTTATTACCTATATAATATAGTCTTCTTTCTTCTTTCAACACACCGGCCGTATCCCACCGAGGTGGTGTGGCCTAAAAGGAAAAACGAAGTTTCTCCTTTCAAATTTAGTAATATATACAGAAGGGGTTACTAGTCGCCTTGCTCCTGGCATTTTGGTCGCCTCTTATGACACACATGGCTTACGGAGGAAGAATTCTGTTCCACTTAACCATGGAGAATATAATATAGTATCTTTGTGTATCTTTGTAAGAGAAGTAAATGCGAGGGTCTTGGCAAGAGGCGTGGAGTTAAAAGATAAAGAATCACACACAAAGTGGGAGTTGTCACAGCTGCTCTTTGCTGATGACACTGTGCTCTTGGGAGATTCTGAATAGAAGTTGCAGAGATTGGTGGATGAATTTGGTAGGGTGTGCAAAAGAAGAAAATTAAAGGTGAATACAGGAAAGAGTAAGGTTATGAGGATAACAAAAAGATTAGGTGATGAAAGATTGGATATCAGATTGGAGGGAGAGAGTATGGAGGAGGTGAATGTATTCAGATATTTGGGAGTGGACGTGTCAGCGGATGGGTCTATGAAAGATGAGGTGAATCATAGAATTGATGAGGGGAAAAGAGTGAGTGGTGCACTTAGGAGTCTGTGGAGACAAAGAGCTTTGTCCTTGGAGGCAAAGAGGGGAATGTATGAGAGTATAGTTTTACCAATGCTCTTATATGGGTGTGAAGCATGGGTGATGAATGTTGCAGCGAGGAGAAGGCTGGAGGCAGTGGAGATGTCATGTCTGAGGGCAATGTGTGATGTGAATATAATGCAGAGAATTCGTAGTTTGGAAGTTAGGAGGAGGTGCGGGATTACCAAAACTGTTGTCCAGAGGGCTGAGGAAGGGTTGTTGAGGTGGTTTGGACATGTAGAGAGAATGGAGCGAAACAGAGTGACTTCAAGAGTGTATCAGTCTGTAGTGGAAGGAAGGCGGGGTAGGGGTCGGCCTAGGAAAGGTTGGAGAGAGGGGGTAAAGGAGGTTTTGTGTGCGAGGGGCTTGGACTTCCAGCAGGCATGCATGAGCGTGTTTGATAGGAGTGAATGTGCTGTTGGAGTGTGAGCAAAGTAACATTTATGAAGGGGTTCAGGGAAACCGGCAGGCCGGACTTGAGTCCTGGAGATGGGAAGTACAGTGCCTGCACTCTGAAGGAGGGGTGTTAATGTTGCAGTTTAAAAACTGTAGTGTAAAGCACCCTTCTGGCAAGACAGTGATGGAGTGAATGATGGTGAAAGTTTTTCTTTTTCGGGCCACCCTGCTTTGGTGGGAATCGGCCGGTGTGATAATAATAAAAAAAAATAATCTTTGTGTAATGCACAAATCACCAAAATATTCAATGTTATTTACTATTCTTAAGCTTCAAATTTAATTCAAAATTTCACACTATGTATATAACACGGTAATGTAGTGAATGCTTTAAATGCTTAGCTTATAACTTGCCTGAGAGTTTTAAAACTCGACCCATGGTAAGCCTTAATAGGGGTACCAGCACTCTTATATGGGTGTGAAGCATGGGTTGTAAATGCTGCAGTGAGGAGGAGGCTGGAGGCAGTAGAGATGTTGTGTCTAAGAGCATTGTGTGGCGTAAATATTATGCAGAGAATTCACAGTGTGGAAATTAGGAGGAGGTGTGAAGTTACTAAAAGTATTATTAATAGAACCAACGAGGGGTTGTTGAAGTGGTTTCATCATTTAGAGAGGATGGAGCAAAATAGGATGACTTAGAGGGTATATAAATCTGTAATGGAGGGAAGAAGGGAAAGGGGTCATCCTAGGAAAGGATGGAGGGAAGGGGTAAGAGATTTTGTGTTCAAGGGGCCTGAACATGCAGCAGGCATGTGAGTGTGTTAGATAGAAGTGGAGATGAACGGTTTTAGGGAGTTGACAAGCTGTTGTGGATGTGAGCAAGGTAATATTCTGTGAAGGGATTCAGGGAAACTGGTTAGCTGGACTTGAGTCCTGGAGGTGGGAAGTACAATGCCTGAACTTGAAAGGAAGGATTTGGGATAAGTGCTGTCAAGAGTGACATCTAAACTGACATCTGTGCACCTCTGCAAAGACAGTGATAGCATGAATGATGGTGAGTGATTCTTTTGTTGGGTCACCCAGTCTCAGTGGGAGATGGCCAGCATGTTGGAAAAAAAATATACTGTGATTTAAAGAAAAGCTTCAAGACTAAAAAAATACAATTCAGTTGATTTGGAGATCTTTCAATTACAAAATGGAGGAATAAAATAAGTAGGACCATATTTTTTTTTTACCATACCAGCTACCTCCCACTGAAGTAGTGTGACCAGGCAAAAAAGAAACAAAATGATTTTAAGACAAATGGTAATAGCATTACAGAAGCTAAGGTTTATCAAAAATTTTTTTTTACTTACCAGTTGTAGCAGCAGAATCTAGTGCTTTGTTACTCTCTGTCATACTGATAGACCGGTAGGGCTCTCAATGGTCCCGAGCGTACTGAGGAAGATGTCCCATTATGAAGACGTCGCAATTGGCTAGCCACAGCTTGTTGGTCTATTGAGCCCATTTTCATCCCTGTAATGCAATCAAATATGGTATAAAGTGATGTGCTCATGGTTATCTTTCTGTAGATAGAGGGGGTTAGAGCTATGCTAGTGATATCCAATTTTGAGTGTTCAATTTGTTAAATAATTATTTGATGCTTCCACTGGTACTAGTTGTTGCACATACCTGTACTACCTTACCCATGGATCCCCATCCAATATTCTACCTATCTATTTATGAATAAAAACTTTCTAACATCCTTTCTCTATTACTTTTACCTGTTTATAAGTGCAGCCTTTTGTCTTTCCTGTTGATAATGCTAAGAAGTTTTCTCTATTTTCTCACATTCTTTTATGGTCACATCATTCTCTTTCCTAATAACCATAACCAGCTCATGTTGCCTTTCAAGAATAAAGACATGATGGTCCAATGTTGAACTACAAAACCACAATATTAACACTCTGACTGTCGCAACCCCAAATCCTAGAGATGGAGAATCTTTTCCCGATGATAATGACACCAAAAGTACAAAATTTGATGAAAAACTTATGGAATTACGCTCTCGCGAAGTTAGTGACCTTGGCGAGACATTTACACATCGGCGATTTCGCCTACTTTGAGCCCTAATTTCGGCCAATTCCATTGTTTCAGTCCACCAAACTCGTAGCTATTTCTTTAGAACTCCATTTTTTCTACCGATTGAGTACAAGAAACCACCCATTTACCGATTTCAACTACCCAATAAAGTGGTCAGAAATTGGCAACTTGGCCAATTTCATGCAAATTAAAAAATATGTCGATTTCAAAATAGGGTCCAGAATGAACAATGCAGACATTCTTGGCACTAAAATAAAATTTTTTCTTTTCATCAGTCACATCTCCAGGCCCCTGTTATAATACTCTTGCTTTCTATTTTGAATTTTTATTCACACAAAAAATAGAAGATTTACTGTTATGCAGACTACTGCAATATTGTAATAATTGTATAAATAACATCGACCCATTCATGACTGCATATTAGAATGGCTAGTTGGACATTTATTGGACAACGACGTCATTTGTTTACTCTTGAACATTGGCAAAAATCGAACCTTTCTGCCACTTTGAGCTCCATTTCAAGATCCTTTTCATAGTAAAACCAATCAAAATCACTTCTAGTTCTATAATATGTTTTCTATTCTATCAAATGAGACCAAGAAAACAAGAATAAAACCATAAATACTATACAAAATACACCTTAAAGTCGGCGTTTTAATGCAAAAACACAGTCGGAGTTTTTTTTTTTCCTCATTATGCACTGCATGCTGCAGGATTTTTTTATACACATTGACCATACGGATCCATTCTCTCACATGTGGGCCTACCAGCTTTCTCCTGCTTGATTTGAAGCCACTAGAATTTTTGAGTATATAGTATATGTCAAACACATTGGCTCGTGAGATGTATATATACGATCAAAACAGTCAAAAAGGGTTAACTACAGTACCTCTTCACTCCTTTCTTTCAGTCTTGCCTCTATGTTTTCATTCCTTCTATCTTCTAGGCTCATATTTTTGGCAAACACACCAGCACTCATCTCTTACATCATCATTCATAAACACATTTCACAAATTTGATGACATATCTTATCATAGCTTTTTTTTTTTTTTTTTTTTTTTTTTTCAACAAGTCGGTCGTCTCCCACCAAGGCAGGGTGACCCAAAAAAGAAAGAAAATCCCCAAAAAGAAAATACTTTCATCATCATTCAACACTTTCACCACACTCACACATTATCACTGTTTTTGCAGAGGTGCTCAGAATACAACAGTTTAGAAGCATATACGTATAAAGATACACAACATATCCCTCCAAACTGCCAATATCCCTAACCCCTCCTTTAAAGTGCAGGCATTGTACTTCCCATTTCCAGGGCTCAAGTCCGACTATATGAAAATAACCGGTTTCCCTGAATCCCTTCACTAAATATTACCCTGCTCACACTCCAACAGATCGTCAGGTCCCAAGTATCATTCGTCTCCATTTACTCCTATCTAACACGCTCATGCACGCTTGCTGGAAGTCCAAGCCCCTCGCCCACAAAACCTCCTTTACCCCCTCTTTCCAACCCTTTCGAGGACGACCCCTACCCCTCCTTCCTTCCCCTATAGATTTATATGCTTTCCATGTCATTCTACTTTGATCCATTCTCTCTAAATGACCAAACCACCTCAACAACCCCTCTTCAGCCCTCTGACTAATGCTTTTATTAACTCCACACCTTCTCCTAATTTCCACACTCCGAATTTTCTGCATAATATTTACACCACACATTGCCCTTAGACAGGACATCTCCACTGCCTCCAACCGTCTCCTCGCTGCTGCATTTACCACCCAAGCTTCACATCCATATAAGAGTGTTGGTACTACTATACTTTCATACATTCCCTTCTTTGCCTCCATAGATAACGTTTTTTGAGTCCACATATACCTCAACGCACCACTCACCTTTTTTCCCTCATCAATTCTATGATTAACCTCATCCTTCATAAATACATCCGCCGACACGCTTTAACAATTATAATTATAGCCATTAGCTTGGTCTACACATATATCTACATTCTACATGGAAGCATAAACATCAGTTAATACAGTCATGGTGCATAATGAAAATCATGGAAAAGAGTAAATAAAATAAAAGTGAACAATTGTAAAATTTAAAAGGTAAAAAAAAAAAAAAAAAAAAAGTGAGAGAATAAAATAATTCAGTATAAATCAGGTTATACAATAGCACAAATCCATAGATACTGGCTCACCTGGGATAACAGGTCTTGAAGCTTGGGCTGAACTTCCTGGGTTGTCCTCACATTTATAACTTGAATTATCAATCCTCATACCAAGGGAGATTCGACGAAGGAAAGATTGGGTGCAATCTTTTGCTATCTATACAAAAAAAAATATATATATACATATAAATATATAATATATATAATAAAAATAAAAAAGCGAAAAGAAAATAATAAAAAGATAATGCACAACTATTTTTCTGAAGCACTGTCTGACTTTCAGGGTTGGCCTGGTTAAAAATAAAATTCTCCCTATCATTCTTGAAGTGATAAGACTTGAAGGTGGACAAAATGAAATTGGCTACCAATTCATATTGTAAAAAATATAAACTTTCTATAAAAAAATCTGAAAGCAGACTCCATAATGTAATGTACAAATTTCGTTATTAATATATTTTGTGAAGCACTAAAACCGTGTGGGTCATTCAACACAAGGAGTAATGTAGGATTGATTCTTTCTCCACTAAATGTAAGAAAGACAACTCTCTTGCAGCCATGCTTCCCCAACAAATTTCGTCAAGTTACTTTAACAGTAAAATATGTAATAATAGTAAAGTAACAAAAATTTTACCAAAATGTTAGATATTTCTTAGTCACTCTGCTTATTTACCAAACTCCTGTTTCATGTCATAACTTTCTTCATATACTGCATACTTAATATTACATATCAATGATCTTTAACTCATTATTATTATGCTTGTAAACCCAAACATTTCATTGTTTACTCTATTGGCATTCTCTGCATACTCATATAAACTTAGCCTCACATTTCCATCTTATATAACTGGGATGTGAAAAATCTGAAAAGTTGAGAGAGAGCCTTGAAAGAATTTAACATTATTGTATGAGAAACTTGGGTTCTTTGATTATGTTGAAAGAATACAAAAATTCAATTTATTTATTCAGATCCTCTTTATACAAAATATTTTTACAGCTAAGGATAGCTTCAACAAGACACACTTAAAATACTTATTTAATTTTTATCACATGTGCCATGTCCCACCAAGGTAGGTGATCCAAAAAAATATACATACATTACATATACTATTAAATTTTGTGTATAATTATTTATTATTACAATTCATGTTCCTTTAACAAACATTATTTGTAAATCATTAACTTTAATCTTCTCAAATATGCAGCAAACATGAGCCACACAAAAAAGAATGCCTAAAAAAAACCCACTTTTTAAACAAGGTTCACAAAACTTGCAATTTTAAGATATGGAGATACTGACTTACATAAGCAAATCTGGGGAATAACACTACCTTGATCTTTAAAAAAAAATTCAAAATAGTTTTTGTCTTTGTTATACACTGCAATGTATTCCTTCATACAAACAAGTAATGCTAGCATTATTATAGATGAACTAACTAAAATAAATAAATAACACACAAACTCACTCACTCACTCTCATTCTCTCTAATGAAGGAAAGGCAGCATGTTGTGAATATTGTACTGAAGTATGCTGTAAGCAAGGAAAGACTGGGCACACTGAATACAGTAATTAATACAACAGAGTTCAAGTGAAGAGAAGTATCCTGTAAGATAAGATGGGAAAATGTAAGACTTTGATGTCTTCAAGATCTTACCGTCCTTTTAACAGATGGCTGTGTAGGTGTACTTGCACATTTGGGAGTAGAAGCAGCATCAGGAGCAGTGTTGGACACTTTAAGTGGTGTTGCATCTAAGATTATCTGAAGAACATCCCCCTCAGCATCCATCAAGTTCACCGTCTCATTCAAAGAAGCAATTTTATATTCACCTCGCTCAAAAGTTACATTCAATTTCTCCTTTTCCTTGTCCTCGCTTGAAGGATGATCATTCTTCTCAAATGTTGTATCCATAAATTTGTAAGGTTTCATATCTTCTGCATTTGCAGTATCAAAAGTTCTGTTGGCACAATGAACTTTTGCATCAAATGCTGTATTGGCATCCCTTTTGTCAAATGTAGTATTGACATCCTTTCTGTCAAATGTAGTATTGACATCCTTTCTGTCAAATGTGGTATTAGCATCCTTTCTGTCAAATGTGGTATTAGCATCCTTTCTGTCAAATGTGGTATTAGCATCCTTTCTGTCAAATGTGGTATTAGCATCCTTTCTGTCAAATGTGGTATTAGCATCCTTTCTGTCAAATGTGGTATTAGCATCCTTTCTGTCAAATGTGGTATTAGCATCCTTTCTGTCAAATGTGGTATTAGCATCCTTTCTGTCAAATGTGGTATTAGCATCCTTTCTGTCAAATGTGGTATTAGCATCCTTTCTGTCAAATGTGGCATTAGCATCCTTTCTGTCAAATGTGGTATTAGCATCCTTTCTGTCAAATATATTGACATCCTTTCTGTCAAATGTAGTATTAACATCCTTTTTGTCAAATGTATTATTGATATCCTTTCTGTCAAATATAGTATTAACATGTTTTTTCTCCAGTGTGATAGAGACTGGACTTTCCAATCGTTTTTCAAAGGTTGAGTTAAGCACAGGATGAATATCATTATTATTATCAAATGTTAAATTCACACCCTTGCTCTGCTGTTGATAAATATTATAAGTCTCTTCCAAATAGTTTTTAATGTCACGTATCTTTCCACTTTTCACTGATGATGCATCAGTGTTCTCCATGTCACTCAAAATTTTTGCAAGCCTTTCAAAAGTACAGTCATTTGATTTTACATATGCATCACTAAATTTTTCAATTTTGCTTTCTGCATCTTTCTGGAAGAGAGTGAAAAAGAAAATGAATTCTACCCTATAACAAGTTAATTTTATCAGATGCCCGAACCAATAATGGAAAAGGAATTTAGAAAAAATTAAATATACCAAGGCTGTTTTTGCCACTAAGCATTCTCTTCAAAATACAGTATAAATTTCTTAGTAATAGCTAGAAATTGTACAATGCTAATAATAGTATTAGGTATTAACAAAGTACTCTACTCTCTCTCTACACATTACTCATCACCTTGCACATCAGTCACTGGATCTATCCCTAATACTCTTTACATAAATTTGTTACTGTCACAGATGCGATCCACACTGTCATAGCAAAGCCAATGAATGGTCAGTCACAAAGTGATTTGGATAATATCTCGGGCCTGAACAAGTCAGTGTGAAGTAAAACATCTGGTTGGGAAGACAGTAGCACCTTTAGTGTAATGAAAATAGTTACCTCTAATCCAATGAGTCACTGGACTCCTCTATAGCACTCTTTACACAAATATAAATGTATGCAATTTGACCACAATAATTGTAATGAACCTTCACATTACCAAGAAACAGTGAAGTAACTTTAACAACATGAGGATGCTAACATTGAATACAGGATTACATCTCACATATGGAGCTGACATTTTTATATGACAAATTCAGATATTGAGACTATTTTTAAACATATAATTTTTTTTTTTTTTACAAATTTTATTAATTATGAATGCATCCCAATCAATGAGATGATTAAAATCTTTTACACCAGAACACAGAGTATCCGAATCTTAGAAAAGTTAAGAAACTAAACCTTATGAACCCTTTCAGTAGGAACTGATGAGATGGATACATGTTGATCATTCTTGCCTGGAGATCTTGCCAGAGAAAAGGAATTGAGTAAACTGTCATTCACAGTATCCATATCTGGAAATCAAATAATTTTAAACAATACTTTCTCCCTGCTTATGTTACAAGGCCTAAAGCTGTAGCCAACTGACAAGTGCTACAACAAAACCATGTTTCCCTAGTTAAAGAGTACTCCCACTGAGGCAGGGTGGCCTTGAATAATACAAACTTAGCCCTTTCCGAAAATTTTCGGAAAAAAAAAAAAATTAGTTTTTCTTATGAAATGATAGAGAATCTTTTCCCAATCATAATGACACCAAAAGTATGAAATCTGATGGAAAACTTATGGAATTATGCTCTCGCGAGGTTAGCGATCTTGATGATGTTTACGCATCAGCGATTTCGCCCACTTTGAGCCCTATTTTCGGCCAATTCCAGTGTACTAGTCGACAAAAGTCATAACTATTTCGCAAGAACTCCATTTTTTCTATCGAATGAGTACAAGAAACCACCCATTTACCAATTTCAACTATCCAATAAAGTGGTCAGAAATTGGCAATTTTACCAATTTCACACAAATTTCAAAAGATGCCAATTTCCAAATAGGGTTCAGAATAAACAAGACAGACATTCCTGGCACTAAAATAACATTTTCTCTGTTCATTAGTCACGTCCCCAGGCCCCTCTTACATTTCTTTTTGCTTTCCACTTTGAATTTTTATTCTCACAAAAAATAGATCTACTGTTACACAGACTACTGTATTACTGTAGAAATGGTATAAATATCAACACAACTGTGAAAGAATATTAGACTCACCAGTTGATGTGTATTGGACATGTGGCATGATTTGTTTACTTTTGAACTTTGGCAAAAATCGAACATTTCTGCTACTCTGAGTTCAATTTGAAGGTACTTTTCTTTGTGAAACCAATCAAAATCATCTCAATTTCTGTAGTATGTCTTCCGTTCTATAAAATGAGACCAGGAAAACTAGAATACAACCATAAATATCATACAAAAATACACTGCAAAGTCGCTGTTTCAAACCAAAAACACAGTCAAAGTTTTTTTTTTCTCATTATGCACTGTGTGCTGCAGGATTTTTTTTATACTGTACACACTGACCACATAGACCCATTCTTTCATATGTAGGCCTACCAGCTTTCTCTCGCTAGATTTGAAGGCACTAGAATTTATGCGTACTAGTACGTCAATAACCCTGGGTGCGCAAGACGTACTAGTATGTCGGAAACCCTGAAAGGGGTAAAAAGTAAGAAAGTGAATTTAGAATAACTTAATGACCCTGCAATTCAGTTTAAAAAATAAATAAAAAATTACCAGTAGTCTCACTCCATTAGTGCATCACAGCATTTCCTATAAATACTCTATAAACAGTAAACCCTTGTATATTTTTTTGTTGTACATTTATATTTAAAAAGTTTAAACACTGGAAACATTCAGCACAATAGTATGGTAAATTCTTAGCAAGGGAATTCACCACAGGCAAATTCAAAGTGACTGTTGATATGAAAAACCATCTTCAGATAGCCCACAAATGTCAAAGAATGCCACCTAGAATAAGGAGCTGGTTGTTTACAATCCTCAAGTGTAGCTACCCTTGTTACCATTCCTACCTTTATCTCCAAAACTAGAAATACCTCTCCTTCTCTCACCCTTTAATTACATATTTGTAGTTAATGGGGCAGAGAAATGTTTGTGGTGTACCATCTTAAGTGTTCTGTTTAGGGCCTTGGACTGGATAACAGCTCAGCTCCAAGGCATGTTGTGATTAGCTTGACCTTAGATCCACACCAGTAAAAGTTTTTCCATTTAACTAACACATTTGTACACTATAGGTAGTAGGTTGGTAGACAGCAACCACCCAGGGAAGTACTACCGTCCTGCCAGATGACTGTGAAACAAAAACCTGTAACTGTTTTGCATGATGGTAGGATTGCTGGTTTCTTTTTCTGTCTCATAAACATGCTAAGATAACAGGGATATCTTGCTACTCCTACTTACACTTTGGTCACACTTCACAGACACGCACATGCATATATATATATACATACATCTAGGTTTTTCTCCTTTTTCTAAATAGCTCTTGTTCTTTTTTATTTCTTCTATTGTCCATGGGAAGTGGAAAAGAATCTTTTCCTCCGTAAGCCATGCGTGTCGTATGAGGCACTAAAATGCCGGGAGCAATGGGGTAGTAACCCCTTCTCCTGTATACAATTACTAAAAAAGAGAAGAAGAAAAACTTTATAAAACTGGGTTGCTTAAATGTGCGTGGATGTATGCGGATGACAAGAAACAGATGATTGCTGGGTGTTATGAATGAAAAGAAGTTGGAAAGCCTGGGCCCCAAGCGAACAAAGCTGAAGGGGGTAGGAGAGTTCAGTGGGGGAAATAAATGGGATTAAAACTGGAGTATCTGAGAGAGTTAGAGCAAAGGAAGGGGTAGCAGTAATGTTAAATGATCATTATGGAAGGAGAAAAGAGAATATGAATGTGTAAATTCAAGAATTATGTGGATTAAAGTAAAGGTTGGATGGAGAAGGGGGTCAATAAGCGTGTATGCACCTGGAGAAGAGAGGAATGCAGAGGAGAAGAGAGTTTTTGGGGAGATGTTAAGTGAATGTATAGGAGCCTTTGAACCAAGTGAAGAGTAATTGTGGTAGGGGACTTGAATGCTAAAGTAGGAGAAACTTTTAGAGAGGGTGTGGTAGGTAAGTTTTGGGGTGCCAGGTGTAAATGATAATGGGAGCCCTTTATTGAACTTTGTATAGAAAGGGGTTTAGTTTAGGTAATACATATTTTAAGAAAAAGAGGATAAAAAAGTATACACGTATGATGTAGGGCGAAATGACAGTAGTTTGTTGGATTTGTATTGGTAATAAAAGACTGTTGAGTAGACTTCAGGATGTACATGTTTATAGAGGGGCCACAGATATTTTCAGATCACTTTCTAGTTTTTAGCTACACTGAAGTAAAAGGGAGATGGGATACAAGGAGAATAGAAGCATCAGGGAAGAGAGAGGTGAAAGGGTTTTTAAACTAAAGAGGGGGCAGTTAGGTAAGATATAAACAGCTATTGGAGGATAGATGGGCTAATGAGAGCATAGGCAATGGGGTCGAAGAGGTATGGGGTAGGTTTTAAAAAAGTAGTGTTAGAGTGTTCAGCAGAAGTTTGTGGTTACAGGGAAAATGGGTGCAGGAGGGAAGAGGAGCGATTGGTGGAATGATGATGTAAGAGAGTATAAAGGGGGAAAAAGTTAGCATATGAGAAGTTTTTACAAAGTAGAAGTGATGCAAGGAGGGAAGAAATATATGGAGAAAAAGAGAGAAGTTAAGAGAGTGGTGAAGCAATGTAAAAGAGAGCAAATGAGAGAGTGGGTGAGATGTTATCAACAAATTTTGTTGAAAATAAGAAAAAATTTTGGAAGTGAGATTAAACAAGTTAAGAAAGCCTAGAAACAAATGGATTTGTCAGTTAAAAATAGGAGAGGAGAGTTATTAAATGGAGAGGTAGAGTATTGGGAAGATGGAAGGAATATTTTGAGGAATTGTTAAATGTTTGATGAAGATAGGGAAGCTGTGATTTCGTGTATAGGGCAAGGAGAATAACATCTTGTAGGAGTGAGGAAGAGCCAGTTGTGAGTGTGGGGAAGTTCGTGAGGCAGTAGGTAAAATGAAAGGGGGTAAGGCAGCCGGATTGATGGGATAAAGATAGAAATGTTAAAAGCAGGTGGGGATATAGTTTTGGAGTGGTTGGTGCAATTATTTAATAAATGTATGGAAGAGGTAAGGTACCTAGGGATGGCAGAGAGCATGCATAGTTCCTTTGTATAAAGGCAAAGGGGATAAAAGAGAGTGCAAAAATTATAGGGGGATAAGTCTGTTGAGTGTACCTGGTAAAGTGTATGGTAGAGTTATAATTGAAAGAATTAAGAGTAAGACGGAGAATAGGATAGCAGATGAACAAGGAGGCTTTAGGAAAGGTAGGGGGTGTGTGGACCAGGTGTTTACAGTGAAACATATAAGTGAACAGTATTTAGATAAGGCTAAAGAGGTCTTTGTGGCATTTATGGATTTGGAAAAGGCGTATGACAGGGTGGATAGGGGGGCAATGTGGCAGATGTTGCAAGTGTATGGTGTAGGAGGTAGGTTACTGAAAGCAGTGAAGAGTTTTTACGAGGATAGTGAGGCTCAAGTTAGAGTATGTAGGAAAGAGGGAAATTTTTTCCCAGTAAAAGTAGGCCTTAGACAAGGATGTGTGATGTCACCGTGGTTGTTTAATATATTTATAGATGGGGTTGTAAGAGAAGTAAATGCAAGGTCTTGGCAAGAGGCGTGGAGTTAAAAGATAAAGAATCACACACAAAGTGGGAGTTGTCACAGCTGCTCTTTGCTGATGACACTGTGCTCTTGGGAGATTCTGAAGAAAAGTTGCAGAGATTGGTGGATGAAATTTGGTAGGGTGTGCAAAAGAAGAAAATTAAAGGTGAATACAGGAAGATGAGGTAGTTATGAGGATAACAAAAAGATTAGGTGATGAAAGATTGAATATCAGATTGGAGGAGAGAGATATGGAGGAGGTGAACGTATTCAGATATTTGGGAGTGAACGTAGTCAGCGGATGGGTCTATGAAAGATGAGGTGAATCATAGAATTGATGAGGGAAAAAGAGTGAGTGGTGCACTTAGGAGTCTGTGGAGACAAAGAACTTTGTCCTTGGAGGCAAAGAGGGGAATGTATGAGAGTATAGTTTTACCAACGCTCTTATATGGGTGTGAAGCTGGGTGATGAATGTTGCAGCGAGGAGAAGGCTGGAGGCAGTGGAGATGTCATGTCTGAGGGCAATGTGGGTGTGAATATAATGCAGAGAATTCGTAGTTTGGAAGTTAGGAGGAGGGGCGGGATTACCAAAACTGTTGTCCAGAGGGCTGAGGAAGGGTTGTTGAGGTGGTTCGGACATGTAGAGAGAATGGAGCGAAACAGAATGACTTCAAGAGTGTATCATCTGTATGGAAGGAAGGCGGGGTAGGGGTGTCGGCCTAGGAAGGGTTGGAGGGAGGGGTAAAGGAGGTTTTGTGTGCGAGGGGCTTGGACTTCCAGCAGGCATGCGTGATGCGTGTTTGATAGGAGTGAATGGAGACAAATGGTTTTTAATACTTGACGTGCTGTTGGAGTGTGAGCAAAGTAACATTTATGAAGGGATTCAGGGAAACCGGCAGGCCGGACTTGAGTCCTGGAGATGGGAAGTACAGTGCCTGCACTCTGAAGGAGGGGTGTTAATGTTGCAGTTTAAAAACTGTAGTGTAAAGCACCCTTCTGGCAAGACAGTGATGGAGTGAATGATGGTGAAAGTTTTTCTTTTTCGGGCCACCCTGCCTTGGTGGGAATCGGCCGGTGTGATAATAATAAAATAAAATATTTGTACACTCTCTGTTTAGTGTTTAATCATATAGCTTACAGAGCACATGAATTCTGGTGTTCAACTGGGAAGTTATTCACATATAAACATTATGAGGATGAGTATTTTCCTTGTGGCACGACTCTGGCAACATTTAACCAGAGGTTTTGTGGGCGAGGGGCTTGGACTTCCAGCAGGCGTGCATGAGCGTGTTCGATAGGAGTGAATGGAGACGAATGGTACACCTACCATCCGACTTACGACCTGCTCGACTTATGACCACTCGACTTACGACCGTGTTTTTTATGCCAAGTTTTTGGGAAATAAACAACTATTTGTGTTGTACACAGTGTTTATCCTAAACCTTACAGTATAAAATACAGTACTAACAACATAAAAAGTAAAGTAAAACATGAAATACCAAAATAAAACCATAAAATAAAGTCATTACAAAAATGTTTTGTTGATATTCAGTAGTAAAGTTCGACTTACGACCATTTCGACTTACGACCGGTTTCTCGGAACCGAACTCGGTCGTAAGTCGGATGGTAGGTGTATTTGGGACCTGATGATCTGTTGGAGTGTGAGCAGGGTAATATTTAGTGAAGGGATTCAGGGAAACCGGTTATTTTTGTATAGCCGGACTTGAGTCCTGGAAATGGGAAGTACAATGCCTACACTCTATGCTTTTAAACTGTTGTGTTCTTAGCACCTCTGCAAAAACAGTGATTATGTGTGAGTGAGATGAAAGTGTTGAATGATGATGAAAGTATTTTCTCTTTGGGGATTTTCTGTCTTTTTGGGTCACCCTGCCTCGGTGGGAGACGGCCGACTTGTTAAAAAAAAAAAAAATTCTTTTAACACTACATACATTTTACTTTCAAAAACATTTTTCATCCATTGTAATAGTTTACTATGTATCAAAACTTACAGATAAATCTTTAATGAGAACTTGTATTAAAAAATTTCTTGAACTCTAAATACATACAATCTTTACAGCTATTTGCTACTTTCTTGAATAATAATATAATCAAATTAAGCACTACACCAGAAAGGGTCATAAAATAGCAAAGCCCTGAATTTCTGTGACTCGTAGAATATATTTAACAGAAATTTGTAAACTGGAAACCGAATTGCTTGCTATTATTAGATTTCTGCTTTTCATGTTCTCTACATGCAAGAAACACTGGATATTTTCTTGCTGGTATACATTTTCTCATCAATATCATCACTTATTACTGCCTAGATTAATTATGTGAAAGATGAAAGTAAGATACTTATATCCTGAAGAAATTTATATTTGCCATTAACTAGCCAGTCTTCTTATACCACACTGACTCTGCTGATTGCTCCAGCCCAGAAACTTAACCCAATTTATCCTACATGCCTTTCAGTTTTCACAACACATTACAGTGGACCCCCGCATAACGATCACCTCCCAATGCAACCAATTATGTAAGTGTATTTATGTAAGTGCATTTGTATGTGTATGTTTGGGGGTCTGAAATGGACTAATCTACTTCACAATATTCCTTATGGGAACAAATTCAGTCAGTACTGGCACCTGAACATACTTCTGGAATGAAAAAATATCGTTAACCGGGGGTCCAGTGTATTTGACAAAGTATTCAGGAGCACAACTGCAAAGATGTAAAGGGTTTACTACACTACTACTAAGCTGCCATGAAAGTATTACATAACAAAAAACAAATGACTTCCTTTTTCTTAATCTACAAAGCCATATATGCTGTTAACACACCTAATGAGTGTAGTGGAAGCCTTGTATCTGGAGTAGCAGAAGATGGCGAGAGACCTTTAGCCATTTTCTCCAGCTCTGCCACAATATCGCAAGCTTCGGATAGAAACCCACTTGAGAATGATGCATTATCCTCTACTGCAACCTGCAATTTTGATGCATCACATTCAGCACATTTTACTATTACAGTATAAATCATAAGCAAGGAGATATAGTCCTGCACGGGTCTTATGAAGACTAACATACTTCTGGAACAGTTAAGTAAATGGTGGGAGCAGCTGGGCCTCAGCCCAGAGACAAGACAGTGTGATAAAAAGGTCTTAAATGGGGTGGTGGTGGGAGTGAGCATGGGTAGAAGGGAGGGAGACCATATGTGTATCAGACGTGAATGGTGGGAGACAGTGATGAGTGTGTTAATATTAGTGGTACCAACACTCTTATATGGGTGTGAAGCTTGGGTTGCAAATGCTGCAGCGAGGAGGAGGCTGGAGGCAGTGAAGATGTCCTGTCTAAGGGCAATGTATGGTGTAAATATTATGCAGAGAATTCGGAGTGTGGAAATTAGGAAGAGGTGTGGAGTTAATAAAAGTATGTCAGAGGGCTGAAGAGGGGTTGTTAAGGTGGTTTGGTCATTTAGAAAGCATGGATCAAAGCAGAATAACTTGGAGAGCATATAAATCTGTAGGGGTCGTCCTCAACAAGGTTGGAGGCAGGGGGTAAAGAAGGTTTTGTGGGCGAGGGGCTTGGACTTCCAGCAAGCATGTGTGTGTGTGTATGTGTTAGATTGGAGTGAATGGAGATGAATGGTTTGGGACCTGACGAGCTGTTGGAGTGTGAGCAGGGTAATATTTAGTGAAAGGATTCAAGGAAACTGGTTATTTTTATATAACCGGACTTGAGTACTGGAAATGGGAAGTACAATGCCTGCACTTTAAAGGAGGGGTTTGGGATATTGGCAGTTTGGAGGGGTATGTTATATATCTTTATATATGCTTCTAAGCTGTTGTATCTGGACACCTCTGGAAAGACAGTGATTATGTGTGAGAGAGGTGAAAGTGTTGAATGATGATGAAAGCATTTTCTTTTTGGTGACTTACTTTCTTTTGGGGTCACCCTACCTCGATGGGAGACGGCCGACTTGTTGAAGAAAAAAAAAAAAAAAGAAAAAAAAAAATCTTTACCAATCTGCCTGCCTGCCTGCCTGCCTCCCTCCCTACTTGCCTGCCTCCTCTGCCCCGTCCTGCCCTATCCTACCACTTTGCCTGGGCATAAGCCTATGAAAGATAAGTTTGTTCTGCTGCTGGATGCCAATGCCTCTGGATATTTCAAGCTGCAGTCTATGCTTATATATCACTCAGAAAACCCCAGTGTTTAAATAACAAAAGAATCCAAGGAAAGGTTGGGAGTACTCTGGCATCTTAGAAGGAATTACCATAAAACTATGTATTTTGGGGTTTCAGTTATGATATTTTGGAGATACAATATGTCTCCTGGAACAGATTAATATCTTAACTCAAGGGACAACTGTACTGTACTGTACTGCACTAACTGAGGAAGAAATGTTCAAGGGCCTGGCTGAATTACGGGCATAAGAAAAGTATTCTTATATTGGACATTTATTTATAGTTATTTATGAACCAATTTTTTGTAAATGAAGCAGTTTGTCATTATAACTCAAATTATCAAAATTTTTATTATGTTTTTTAAATACTTCAGTAAACAACTAACTTGTATACAGCATGACAGCATGTAAAAAATAATGTTGGACAGTGTGGTGATGGGAATATCTCAGTTTTGTTAAGTCACGTGTAGTCCACAGAACTGGAGTGAGTTGAGGAAGAGTTTAGGCAGTTTTGAAATTTGAAGTCCACTTTGACCACATAAAAATTCAGTGCTCTTGGCAATAAAAAATACATACAGTACAACATACAAGGAAAAAAAATACTAAAACAAAAAACTAATGAATAAATTTTTTTTTTTTTTTCCAACAAGTCGGCCGTCTCCCACCGAGGCAGGGTGACCCAAAAAGAAAGAAAATCCCCAAAAAGAAAATACTTTCATCATCATTCAACACTTTCACCTCACTCTCACACAATCACTGTTTTTGCAGAGGTGCTTAGAACACAACAGTTTAGAAGCATATATGTATAAAGATACACAACCTATCCCTCCAAACTGCTAATATCTCAAAACCCCTCCTTTAGAGTGCAGGCATTGTACTTTCCATTTCCAGGACTCAAGTCCGGCTATATAAAAATAACCGGTTTCCTTGAATCCCTTCACTAAATATTACCCTGCTCACACTCCAACAGATCGTCAAGTCCCAAATACCATTCGTCTCCATTCACTCCTATCGAACACACTCATGCACGCCTGCTGGAAATCCAAGCCCCTCGCCCACAAAACCTCCCTTACCTCTTCCTTCCAACCTTTTCGAGAGCAACCCCTACCCCATCATCTTTTAAAGAGCCCATTAAATTACTGTCAAAAGATTTTCCTGAAAGTTATGCAAGATCCTTAGTCACCCTGGGAATTATAAAAACCATAATGAAAGCAGAAATGACATGCAACAGGAGCAGGCATGTGTGAGCACGTTAGATAGAATATGCTGTAGTAGTGCAGGCAAGGTATCATTTACGAAGCGATTTAGGTAAACCAGTTAGCCAGACTGGAGTCCTGGAGGTGGGAAGTACAGTGCCTTCACTCTGAAGGAGAGGTGGGGATACTGTAGTTTGAGGAGGCATCTGAGCTATAGTCTGAACACCTCTGGTAAGGCAGTGATGGAAAGTGATGGGGAGTGGGTTTCTTCTTTTTTTTGTTTTGGGTCACCCTACCTCGGTGGGAGATGGCTGGTGTGTTAAAAAATCAAAACAGAAAAGCCTAAGCCATGGGAAAACTTAAAATGCGTTCCAGTCAGCTGCACACCACAAGTTATATTATTATAATCATGGGGAGCACTAAACTCATAGGATTATACAGCACATGTGGGGGGGAAGGTATTCAGGCTCAATTCAGGGAACCAGAGCACAGATCCAATTCCCTAGATCAAGAGCCCCTCACCAGCATCAAGGAACATCCCTTGAGGGGACCACAAGCTATGGAGAGGGAAGGAGAGACAGGAACACTTGCTAACAGGTGGCAACGAGTGAGAAGACTGTACCTGATTTTCAAGCAACAAAGATTTGTCTCCAGTGCAAGAGGTGTTGTCTTGCTGGAAACTAATTTTCTCTCCAGAGTACCTATATAACCACTGTGATTAGAAAGAAAAGTTCACTTTGGATGCTCGCCTGCTAAAGTAGAATACAATAATGTCACAAACCTTTTGTTGCACAGTGGGAGGCAGAGATGAGGTGAATGTTTCACTCTTCTTTCCTTTATCAGAGCAATTATTCAGACTTGATGAAACAAGTAGGCTGTCATTCATGTTATCAATATCTGGAAATGTTGTACTTATATTAAAACAATAGCTAGTTCCTCATTGGCTTGTCAGTCATCCTCTACAACATTTATAAAAAAAATCATTATATGCTATACCACTAAAACAAGGAAAGTTTCTTCTTGTAATAAACTTTTTATACCTGCTTGTAGGAAAAATTATTTACTATTATCCCAATTAGTATTATTACAATACTGCACTGTTGAAAGAATTAGGGATAAGACAAAGTAGCACTGCAGAGGAACAAGGATTCAAGAAGGGTAGATCTGTAGACCCAGTTTATATTAATCTACATGTGAACAATACTTAGATAAGGTAAAGCACTGCTTATCATACTTATATATTTAGAAAATGCACATGAAAAGGTGAATAGGGAAGCAGTGTGGAAATAAAATTTATCTATGGAAGCAAAAATGGTGAATGTACCAAAGCATAGCTGTACCAACACTTTTATATAGGTGTGAGACATGGGCTTTAAATGTTGCACTGAGGAAAAGGCTAGAGGCAGATGTCATGTTTGAAAACAGTATTTTTTTATTTTTTTTTTTAACAAGTCGGCCGTCTCCCACCGAGGCAGGGCGACCCAAAAATGAAAGAAAATCCCCAAAAAGAAAATACTATCATCATCATTCAACACTTTCACCTCACTCACACATAATCACTGTTTTTGCAGAGGTGCTCAGAACACAACAGCTTAGAAGCATAATAACGATACAAAGCATACTGTACCAAACTGCTAATATTGAGACATGCTTTACATGGAGGCATTGAGTCCATTCCAGGGCCAAGTCATGTTTGAAAAAACGTTATTTTTTTATTTTTTTTTTTAACAAGTCGGCCGTCTCCCACCGAGGCAGGGTGACCCAAAAAAGAAAGAAAATCCCCAAAAAGAAAATACTTTCATCATCATTCAACACTTTCACCCACTCAACATAATCACTGTTTTTGCAGAGGTGCTCAGAATACAACAGTTAGAAGCATACACATATAAGATACACAACATATCCTTCCAAACTGCCAATATTCCGAACCCCTCCTTTACAGTGGAGGCATTGTACTTCCCATTTCCAGGACTCAAGTCCTGCTATATAAAAATAACCGGTTTCCCTGAATCCCTTCACTAAATATTACCCTGCTCACACTCCAACAGATCGTCAGGTCCCAAATACCATTCGTCTCCATTCACTCCTATCTAACACGCTCACGCACGCTTGCTGGAAGTCCAGGCCCCTCGCCCACAAAACCTCCTTTACCCCCTCTCTCCAACCTTTTCGAGGACGACCCCTACCCCGCCTTCCTTCCCCTACAGATTTATAAGCTCTCCATGTCATTCTACTTTGATCCATTCTCTCTAAATGACCAAACCACCTCAACAACCCCTCTTCAGCCCTCTGACTAATACTTTTATTAACTTCACACCTTCTCCTAGTTTCCACACTCCGAATTTTCTGCATAATATTTACACCACACATTGCCCTTAGGACAGTATGTGTACAGTAAATAAAAACATTATCTGCATGTTCAAAGCTGTACCAAGCCCATGTTAGGTTGCAGAATTTTATAGTTACAGACCTATAACAGGATTTCTGTGTATATGCCCCAACTTTATCTGCTTTAATTGTAAGACCTTATATGAAGGCAGGAAGAAAGTTGTATTATCTGAATATGCATGCAAAGGTGAGTGTAGGTTGAAAATAAAAGTTCAAAATTAAAGGAAGTGTTGTTGTATGCACCTAATAACTCAAGACCAGTTCCAAGTGTCAAGTGTAGGTCAGGCGAAGACACGGGTGAAGATGTCATGTTGGCCGCTACATCGTTTTGCTCAGGCTTCCTCTCACCAGATACCTTGGCAGAGGCATCACAGCTATGTAATACCTTCTTTAAACCTCCATTATTTGTACCTGTCTGTGAAGATGTCAATGTCAGCCATCTTAAAATAAATAAAGAAAATTTACTATCTTTGAATAACTTAAGGTTTAAAATTCTAAGAAATTCTGGCTTAGAAGCATATACTGTACAGAGAAACACATTATATCTATCTTAATTGTAACCAAAAATTTTGGAATTCACTTGAAATTTTTTTTATCAACTTTATTTCACACACACTAACCGACCCAGGACGGGGAAGTGCAGCAGAGAGTTAGGTGGGAGGCACCATGCGTATCATGTTTTATATCACCTTATTATTAATGCTGCAGTCTTTTCATACAGACCTCTAACACTACAGTAATACTGTTCTGACAAGTGCTTTGAAATGCAGCAAAGACTTTCTCTGAATTAATAATACAATAAAGTAATTCCTACACATTTTTTTAACACCCAGGCCATCTCCCACCGAAGCAGGGTGACCAGAAGCTTTTCTTCTTACATTTAGTAATTCATACAGAAGAGGTTACTAGTCCCTTGCTTTCAGCCTTTCAGTTGCCTCATACAACATGCAAGGCTTATGGAGGAAGGATTCTTAAAATTGTGTTAATGCTTTAGGTTTGAATCAATGAACTCCAACAAGGGAGATATGAGTGCAGAGTGGAACATTGGTACTCAAACTTAATTCATTCCAAAAGGCTGTTCAAGTCCCGATCTGTTCAAGTATGTACTGAACGAATTTTTCCCAACCAATTTTCTTCTTTTTTGTTGGCTGTTATCACTAATTTTCTTAGGCACCATGGTGACTTATTTATACATATATAAAAAACACCAAAAAATGTGAAGAAACACGAAATAGTTTACAGTGAAGTTCTGGCAGGTCGTGTTTGTTTGGTCAAGTGCCGAGCAAACAGTTGACTACCGAGTGATTTTTTTTTACTAAGCAAAATGTATGAATACCGAATTGTTCGAGTAGGGAGCTGCTCGAGTACAGAGGTTCCACTGTATGCACCTGGCAATACAGCTGGGTACTATGGATTGTAATTATAGTACTCAGACCTTCCAAAAATATTCAAGACTGCACTGCTATTTTAAGCTTACCCATTACAGAGAGGAACCAGTCAAGTTATTTAATAAAAAATACTTCTTAGCATCCAGCTATAGAAATGTATTCTTTGCCAGGTTCTCTCTCCCACCCTTATCTTTGTACAATACACACCTTCATGTAGCAGGTGAATAGATAATTTTATTTATTAATGAGAAACAGAATGCTGAAAGATAAAGTAACTGATGGATGGCTGCCCTAATCAATTTGCTTATCAAGTAAATACGCACAGTGGGCATATAATGGTATGAGATACCGACACAACAGTAAGCAGAGACAGTTATATGGAACCTTATTGACTCGATAAACTAAAAATATAGTAACAAGTAGTACATAGGTGAAGAGCAAGTGAACTAAGTCACACTGGTTCCCAAACATCCTAGAAGTTTCCTGGCAAGCATGCTCAGCTAAACTACAGAAACCTTTGCTCTGGTTAACCTGTAGAAGGTACTAAAGAATGTATACATAGGGACATTTCTCTGCATGTAGTTCTCCTCAGTATATAGTGCTTCATTTCAATTTATCAAGTAGTTGAGCTTTTCAATGTAGTATGCAGGCATTAAGATTGTCTGGTAAAAATGTTTCATATAGAGGTTTGGTAAAATGGAAATTAAATCAGAACCCACAGGTAAGCTAAAGGTCTGTTGGAAGAGGCAGACTTCGAAGAACAAACCAACTGCAATTGATGCAAAGTTCAAAGACGTCTAAGAAAGCATTGGCAAGGACTAGATAAATCAAGTAAATCATTAATTTTCTGGTGAAGGGGATCAATGGCTTGTGAAGCAGGTACCTTGGTAAAAAGGCAGGTAATGTTTAGGCTAGAGTTTGCTTCTGCCCTGGGCATTTCATAAGGAACTGCAAACAGCATGCCTGACTCCACAGAAAAGAAACATAGTCCTCCCCAATTCAATTGCCAACACATTTCCAAGATCTCCAATACCAAACTCAAAACAGCCACAACTTCCTTTACTAACATCAAGGACACTACCAAGCACAAACACCACCAATATAACTTAACTACTGAAGGGGTATAAGCCATCCCATGTGACAAATGTAACAAAATCTACACAGGTGAGTGATCCAAAGTATTTCTTCATGTTTTTCAGGTTTTCAGCAGTTACACAATTGTAAACATACATATAAATACCTGTGAGTTTGCTCTCCTTACATGTCATGAAGTTAAAATGTGTCCCCAAGAACTGGAATTTATCACATATGAAGATAAAATACGTTAATTACGTTTAATTAAGATACTAACTTGAAATTAACTTACCTCATCTATAGATATCAAGGTCTTGACACATTCCGCTAAAGGGGCACTAAGAGAAGCCAATTGTTCATAAAGGTCTGGAAACAATATACATGGCATACATGTAAATAATGTAACAATACATATATAAAATTAATAAAAATAAATACACATTACAAATTAAAAGCAAGAGAGTACACAATATGATAATTTAACACATTATCAAAATCTGCCTGTTAACAGATTTAATCATGAATGTCTTATTCACAACATTCACATGCAGTAGTTTCAACATGCAGAAGTTCCAAGGCAGGTGAAAGATGGTATCCCAGTTTGCTTTAGCATGTGAACTTGAATTTGGAAATACTTTATTTTCAAATTACTGAAAACTGTATAAATTCTTAAACAATGTTAACTTGTTAACAGTTCTGGGAATCAGTGTTGCTACACTGTCTACTACTGGATGCTGACAAAGCTATATGACAACACAAGATATCAGTCTGGGTTTTGAATCAATCTGCACAAGAACTAAATGCAACAGGGAAGACCATTTAAATTATATATGTGATACAAAAAGTGGTGTTTCAAAGATATCAGAAAATGCAATAAAAGAAAGATAATCCTGGAGAGTAAAAACCCACTATGAAAGTTTGGCATCAGATCAGTAAACTTTTGTACATTCAGTCTAAGTTAATACGATAAATCACAATAATTGCAGGCAGGCAGACTAGAGTAAATTTTATTTTTAAAAAATTTAGTTCTACATGAATGGCTAAACTGGAAATTATAAAATATCGGAAAAATAAAATAATAATAATAATACAGTGGACCCTCGACCAATGATGGCATCGTCTAACGTTAAATCCGACTAGCGATACATTTTAATGCAAAAATTTTGCCTCGACTAGCACTAAAAAACTCGACCAACACGATTCGTTCCGTCTGAGACACGTCCACTTGTGGCTGGCCAGCCAGCCACCGCGGTCCCATCCAAACATACAATCAAAACATTTCATATTATCACAGCGTTTTTAGTGATTGCACCTGCAAAATAAGTCACCATGGGCCCCAAGAAAGCTTCTAGTGCCAACCCTACAGCAAAAAGGGTGAGAATTACTATGGATATGAAGAGAGATCATTGCTAAGTATGAAAGTGGAGTGTGTGTCTCCGAGCTGGCCAGGTTGTACACAAAACCCCAATCAACCATCGCTACTATTGTGGCCAAGAAAATGGCAATCAAGGAAGCTATTCTTGCCAAAGGTGCAACTATGTTTTCAAAACTGAGATCGCAAGTGATAGATGTTGAGAGACTGTTATTGGTGTGGATAAACGAAAAACAGACAGCAGGAGATAGCCTACTGTGTAGGCGAAACGTTTCAAAATAAAGATACCTAACTGTTGCATATGTGTCTTACCTAACAACCTGTCGGTACTTTATACCATTTTAATGTTCAAGGAGATAGTATCTCTCAAGCGATCATATGTGAAAAGGCTAGGAAGTTGCATGAGGATTTAATTAGAAAAATGCCTGCAACTAGTGGTGATGTGAGTGACTTTAAGGCCAGCAAAGGTTGGTTTGAGAGATTTAAGAATCATAGTGGCATACATAGTGTGATAAGGCATGGTGAGGCTGCCAGTTTGGACCAAAAGGCAGCTGAAAAATATGTGCAGGAATTCAAGGAGTACATAGACAGTGAAGAATTGAAATCTGAACAAGTGTTTAATTGTGACACTGACAATGTTGTGAAACACTTTAGGAATGTCATAAAGGAACGGGAGGTACAGGCCACTATGGACAGATATGTTGTGCGACAGAGGTCCAGTGACTCTCAAGCTGGTCCTAGTGGCATTAAAAGAAGGGAAGTAACCCAGGAAAAGGACTTGACACCTTAAGTCCTAATGGAAGGGGATTTCCCTTCTAAACACTAACACCATCCACAGTCTCCCCTCCTCCCATCCCATCAATCATCACCAGATCTTCAATAAAGGTAAGTGTCATGTAACTGTACATGTCTTCTTCAGTTTGTGTGTATTAAAATTAATATTTCATGTGGTAAATTTTTTTTTTTCAATACTTTTGGGCATCTTGCACGGATTAATTTGATTTCCATTATTTCTTATGGGGAAAATTAACTCGACTAACGATAATTTCGATTAACGATGAGCTCTCAGGAACGGATTAATATCGTTGGCCGAGGGCCCACTGTAATAGCAACTAGTATTCGGGATTTTAAAATTCTTGAGTGCTTGTGCCTTTGAAAAAATTCACACATCAAACCATAAATACAGCTACAACAAAAAGAACACTCAAGTTTATATTCAAGTGAAAGAAGGATCGTCAAGATCACAAACTCTAGAAAAAAGGTGTGCTTTCAACCAAGACTTGAATGAATAAACAAATTCCTGATTCTTAATAGACACTAGTAACCTGTGGAAGAGTCTGGGAGTTACACAAGAAAAGGCTCACTCAATCAGTGTGAAAGGTTCCACAGCACATCGGGAAAACATTCCTGAGCCTGATGTAAAAGGTACAGCACAGCTAATAAATAGGGACTATCAGCAACTCCGGGTAAGAGCAAGAATATCAGTCTAGCTGCACGAGTCAGTAAGTACTGAAGTAATTAGGCAACCCACAAATAGTAATAAAGTTGGTAGAATTACCGACAATATGTAAAGTAAAAGGACACAAGTGCAACTAATGTGACATTTATTGTGGCAACGTTTCGCTCTCCAGGAGCTTTATCAAGCCATTACGTAATGGCTTGATAAAGCTCCTGGAGAGCGAAACGTTGCCACAATAAATGTCACATTAGTTGCACTTGTGTCCTTTTACTTTACAACCCACAAATAAACAATTGCAAAAAAATAACTAGACAAAGAACAATTGCATGGATAAGGACGCAATGTACACCACTGACACTGCAACTGCAACAGAGAAATTATATCAAGAGGCAAAAAATCACAAATTAAAATCAAACTATCCCAAGTGTAAAAATTTTGGTGAAAGATAAATGTAATGAATGCTAAGATATAAAATGTCCTTAATGAGAAACACCACTTGTTAGAAGGAATAAATAACTACAGTACATAAATATGTACTTGAAAATTATTTAGAAAGGATGAAAAAAATGCCATTGTCAAACTTAAGTGTTAAAATTCACGGCAATGCTAATCAAAATGAAACTTACCAATTTCTCCAGAGATCGACTGTTCAGTTGTTTGTGTGGGTGAGGCTCCTTCCACTTGTGCAAGTTTCTTCTCAGATACTACAAATGACAAATTGCTTGGAACGTCACTCTAGAAATTTAAATTACTGCATTTTAATACAGGTTTGGAAACAAATAATTGATATACTGCAAAACTTATCAAGAAAAACTACTACCGTAGTTATAAATAGCCTCATAAATGACCCAGCCATTCTGGAGAGGGTGAATACCTAAGCGCTATTGTATTTAATCTAGTAGTGCTAAGGAAAAAAAAAATAGGAGCAATTACCCACCTTTCCATGAACAGTGTTCTTGACAGGACTACAAGGAGACACAGATGATACAGATATTAGGTCTGAACTTTCCCAATGACTAACACTTATATTTGGCATCTCTATGTCTTCTAGCAGCTCCTCACTAAAGTTGTGGATGGCAGAGAGAGAATCAACTTCTTGATGCGAGTCGCTGGTATCACCGTCTTGGTCTTGGTTATTGTTGCCACTAATGCTGCCTGAATTACATGTAAATTATAAAACACAGAATTATCAGTACCAAAGTAAACAACAAAATGTGGTTTGATTGAATCAAGGCAAGTAAGAGTGGTTATTCTTGACACTCAACAGTATTTCTCAAAACACAACCTACTGCATATTGCATGCAATGTATTAATAATAACAATTATAATTTATAAACAAGTTCAATACATGTAATAGGTATTACATATTTTAAGTAGAGAATAAATATGAGTCAATTTTTTCAATAAGGAACACTGCTATAAATACAAGGATCTCACAGGAAACAAGTTACCTTATCTGACTTTCTTGGGCTATCCTTGGTAATTTACATGATACTATACAAGACGCTTGTAATCATTCAAAAAATTTATTAAAATCTTACCTAAATAGGCATAAGGTAATTATGATTGGAATTAAATAGAACTGCTATATTTGTGGGAAAGTTCTAAACCCAGAGATGTCATATAACATCTGGTAACCGAAAGGAAATCAGGTTTAATTCAAGGGCAGAATAAATCCAATTCCTTGGATCAAGGATCAGTCTCAAGATACCCCACTCCTTAAAGGGGAAGGAGGAAGGGGGTATCCAGTAAGAGCTGCCTTCCATAGGTCAATGACCCTTCCACAATGTATAAAAAAGAGAAGTAACCTTCTGAAAATCTTTTGTTTGACTTACGTCTGAGATGAGCCAAGGGGGTTAACTCCTCTTCTCTCATTTTCTCAATACTGCGATTCAACTCTATTTCCAAGCGAGAGCCAAGCAACTCGTCGTGACCATCTACATTGAAACAATATGTCTTAAAACAATATGTATGTTGAATATATAGTATATTTAGAAATAAGAACATTAATTAAAATACAAAAAGTGCAATAAAACACAATCTTTATTTATACAAACATACAGTACTAAACTAAAAAAATTAATTATAATTGATAACAGAATTACAAGCCCACAACCTATCAGACCTATGCCCACAACCTACCTAATATGCATTATACTGTAAGGAAAAGTATAGGAGCATGTGATATATTAACCTTAATATAAGTATACACAGTTGACCATCGGATAACACTGTAGGTTACGTTCGTAAAAATAATGTGTAATAAAAGTGGGTAAACTGAACTGAAGAACATTTGTAAAAGTAGGATTATGTTCATTTAAACCACCAAAAATGCCAAACAAATTTTGTATAGGTCTCAAAGTTGTAAAAAACAATGATAATATAATTGGAGGTGAATGTATTGAAGTTTATCAGTCAAAGATCCTGTATCCACATCTTTGCTAAGAGACAGAGATGTCTTATTGCTTGGCTGTCCCACTCATTGCAACTGTGTGTGTGTGGGGGGGGGGGGGTATAAAGGTGGGGGTTAGAGTGGTTAGGAATTATATGGGAGGGGTTAGAGAGGTTGGAGTTAGGGGATTTGGTTGATGTGGGAACAGGAAATGGAGGTTGTGTTGGAGAGTGGAGGATGCTGGGCAGTGGATGGGTGTGGAGGCTGGAAGATATAAGGTGGTGTGATGGTGATCATGTGAGTGGCAGTGTTGGTGGCCATGTGTGGGTGGTGGTGTGGTTATTGGTATGGCTACTGTTATGGTTATTGGTGCAGTTACTGGTACAGTCAGTAATGAGAGTGATGAGTGGCTATGTGACTAGGAGTGTGGAGTGTGTGTTAAGGTATGTGGGCCATGAAAAAGTGAGTAAGGTATGAGCATAGGGCTGTGGGAGTTAGATGCATGGTTGAAGCTGTGGGGAAGTCATGTAGGTGAAAGATGTGGGTGGATGATGTGTGGGATTAAAGTTGTGGGAAAGTGGTGTGGAGGAAAGGCAATGGTTGTCAGTGGCTCGGTGTGCATGGTGATGTGGATGATAGGCGATTTGTAGGGAGTGTGAAGTTGGTGGTGGGAGTAGTAATGAGGGTGGTGGGTGACTTAAGTGATTAGGTATGTGGACAGCATGTTAGGGTGAAAAGTAGAGTAAGGTGTGGGGGTCAGGTCATGGGAAAATGGTGTGGGAGAAAGTTTAGGGCTGAGCAAAGTGTAGTCTTAAGTAGTGGGGAAACGCTATTCTCAGGTTTGCCAGGCGCCCGTATGCTGCAGCAGTTATTTGGTTGATGTGTGCCTCCGGTGATGTGCTCGGTGTTATGGTCACCCCAAGGTCTTTCTCCCTGAGTGAGGTCTGTAGTCTTTGTCCACCTAGCCTATACTCTGTCTGCGGTCTTCTTTGCCTCTCCCCAATCTTATTGACTGCAAAAAACTGGTGTAAGAGTAGGTGTAGGAATGTAGCCATGAGGGAGATGTGTGGGTGGATGTATATATATTTTTCATTCTTTTAGGGAGGTCACAACCTGGGATACTCATTGCATAAGCTCATATCGTTGTTTCATTCTTCTTAATTGTGAGAACTGATGCCTCATTCAGGCCATAAGCTTGTGACATCTTCGTGTGTGTGCCCCTTTTTAAAAACGCTAAGACTTTTACTCGTATGTTACACACATACCGAATTACAGAGAAATTGTTTTCTGTCTTGGGATACTCCCGTACAAATACGTGTCAAACCAAGACACTTATGTTGTCCACCTTATATGGAACTTTCTCATCCGTCCAATGGTGCTGGCCCTAAAGCAGGGACTTTGCAAAATAATCACTGGCATGCCAGTGGGACTCAGTAGTCAAAATGTAAGACACTTACTTACCTTCCTCCTCCAAATGTTCTGGCTTAACTGCTTTCCCTTTGCTTCTGCTGCATCTATCCATTGTGAGAACAATCCTGCAAGACCCAAAATTTAAAACTAATAATATTCTTCCTATATTCCAACCAATAACTAACAAAAAAACTTAAAAAAATAACTGCATATTAATGATAAAACTTTATAAATTAAGAAAGTAATTATCTGCTTGGATTAAAGCTGAAAAAATAAGTTTATTAAGAATTTTGGGGCAGTCAGAGTGCTCGTTGTTTGTCAGAGTCAGACAGGAATACAACCGTTTGGTAAATTTATGCTTTTAACAGAAATTATTACTACCATTATCAATTTGTTACTGACCTACTATTGCTAACTTACTGTTATGATGAATAATTTACAATAATCATCACAAGGCAAGAAAACAACTCAGTCGTGGACGGGGCCGCAGAGGTGTTGACCCTGGAAATACCCTTCAGGTATACTCCAGGTAAACTGTATTCCCATTCTACAAGCATATCTCATATTAATTTAGAGTTGCTGTCAATAAATAACAGCAGATTTATACATAAGTAATATATCCATTATTTAACTGAAAATATATTGGGTTGTTAATGATGTAGACAAGAACCCCAATGAAAGTTGTGTGCACATTATTATTATATTCAAAAAGAAGCGCTAAGCCACAAGGGCTATACAGAGTTGTGTGCACAAATATATATCACATTAAAAACATAACAATTAACCAATAAAGTCAAACAAGATATTAATCAGCTGGAGTCAGGAGCCACTCACCAAGCTACACACACATCACATCTACACAAACACAAGTGTTTAACAAGGTACCAGGACACACAAGGCACCTGAGAAACAAATGCACTTACCATATATTGCAAAAACTAAGCACAATGTCGTTAAAAAGTGAAATAATAATGGTAGGTGGAGCTGCCTGGTCAGCGCCTCAGTTCAAAACACTGAGAAGAACTCAGGGTAACGAACCCAACTATTTTATTATTATTATTATTATTGTATTTTACTAAATTACTCGTAAGTAAAGTAAGTTTATTAAAGTACAGATACACATAAATACAATTATCATACATAGTAACATAAGTGTAAATTATCTAGGACAATCCCCCCAAAATCAATGTAACTTTATTTCCATTGGAGTCCTTGTTATACATCTTATTAATTAAATATAATATTGCATGTAATTCTGTATCTTAAAGTATTATATGTAATAATGATATATACTTAAGTAGTAATCAAGGGAACCAAGAGTAAGCAACCCACTTGCCTGCCACTCACAAGGTGGGTCACATTATACACCTAAAATACTACCTAATACTAAGTATAATACAATAGTAATATTGCTTTTGCATAAAAAGAAAATCTAAAATCTGTCTCAAATCTCGAAATGGAGTAATTTTCCCAGAAATTTATTCTATCTCATATTTATTTTAAGCACTGTTCCAAATCTAAAATAATCATTGGTAAATGGTAATTAACCCAGAATAACCTAATATAACCACTGGAGTTTACCTGCAGAGGATTTCGGGGGTCAACGCCCCCGAGGCTCGGTCTGAGAGCAGGCCTCTTGGTGGATCAGGGTCTGATCAACCAGGTTGTTTCTGCTGGCCGCACGTAAACTGACGTATGAACCACTAGAACAGTTCTCCTGATCTACATACTTTTGTTGATGTACGGTAATTAGGTAAGATTCACGATAATGATGCAATGTTCTGACTATCTTATTTCCACTGGGGGTCCCTCAATCTTGTGCCCCAGGATGCGACCCACACCAGTCGACTTACACCCAGGTACCTACTTACTGCTAGTTGAACATGGATAGCAGGTGTAAGGTGACTAACACCCAGGTACCTACTTACTGCTAGTTGAACATGGATAGCGGGTGTAAGGTGACTAACACCCAGGTACCTACTTACTGCTAGTTGAACATGGATGGCAGGTGTAAGGTGACTAACACCCAGGTACCTACTTACCACTAGGTGAACAGGGACAGCAGGTGTAAGGAAACACGTCCAACATTTCCACCCGTGCCGGGAGTTGAGCCACGGACACCCAACGTCCGTGACTCATTTCACCTATATCTGAAAATTATTAAAGTATACAAGTGTAAGACAGGAATAATTGAAGGGGACATAAATAACGTACTGAAAATATCTACCCAGCAATGAATTCAAGTTGGAAAAACTTAGATTTAGAAAGGATATAGGAAAGTACTTGTTTAGCAATAGAGTTTGTAGATGAGTCAAACAATCTCTCAGGTAGCGTCACTGAGGCCAGAATTTTGAGTGATTTAAAAAATATGTTGGACTGGTGCATGAGTGAGTGTGAGTTAGACCTGCCTAGCATGGGCCAATATATCAATATTCTCCTATAGTCCTAAGTTCTCTACACATATGTAGTTATGTATAATAATCTATGTAACTGTATGTGTGTATACCTGAATAAACTTACTTAATCTAATTTACTCTTAACTTGAATCCTTGCTGCTAGTCCTGTCTTGACTGGATATATTCTACACGTTATTTATATCAGAGATCGTGGCCAGCAGTAACAGCCTGGTTGATCAGACCCTGATCCACCATGAGGCCTGGTCACAGACCGGCCCGCGGGGGCGTTGACCCCCCGAAACCCTCTCCAGGTAGATCACAGAACGAGTGGGATCTGCAACCCGTGGCAGCTGACTCGAAAATTCACCTTTATTTATTCCTGTCTTCCACTTCTATACACCATTTCAAAGACACGTAAGCAAGCACTAGGACCTTGATCACTTCTAACATACACAAGTTAATAAATTAGACACATGTGCATCAATCTTGAAAAGATTGGTGGACTGATTACATCGACTCCAGACTGGTGGGACTGATTACATCGACTCCAGACTGGTGGGACTGATTACATCGACTCCAGACTGGTGGGACTGATTACATCGACTTCAGACTGGTGGGACTGATTACATCGACTCCAGACTGGTGGGACTGATTACATCGACTCCAGACTGGTGGGACTGATTACATCGACTCCAGACTGAGGGACTGATTACATCGACTCCAGACTGGTGGGACTGATTACATCGACTCCAGACTGGTGGGACTGATTACATCGACTCCAGACTGGTGGGACTGATCACATCGACTCCGACTGGTGGGACTAAATTACATCGACTCCTGACTGGTGGGACTGATTACATCGACTCCAGACTGAGGGACTGATTACATCGACTCCAGACTGGTGGGACTGATTACATCGACTCCAGACTGAGGGACTGATTACATCGACTCCAGACTGGTGGGACTGATTACATCGACTCCAGACTGGTGGGACTGATTACATCGACTCCAGACTGGTGGGACTGATTACATCGACTCCAGACTGGTGGGACTGATTACATCGACTCCAGACTGGTGGGACTGATTACATCGACTCCAGACTGAGGGACTGATTACATCGACTCCAGACTGGTGGGACTGATTACATCGACTCCAGACTGGTGGGATGATTACATCGACTCCAGACTGGTGGGACTGATTACATCGACTCCAGACTGGTGGGACTGATTAAAATCGACTCCAGACTGAGGGACTGATTACATCGACTCCAGACTGGTGGGACTGATTACATCGACTCCAGACTGGTGGGACTGATTACATCGACTCCAGACTGGTGGGACTGATTACATCGACTCCAGACTGGTGGGACTGATTACATCGACTCCAGACTGGTGGGACTGATTACATCGACTCCAGACTGGTGGGACTGATTACATCGACTCCAGACTGGTGGGACTGATTACATCGACTCCAGACTGGTGGGACTGATTACATCGACTCCAGACTGAGGGACTGATTACTTCAAACCCGTCCTGATCTTCACCATTCTTCTTTGTGTAGGCTAGATGAGACCAGTGTGCAGCGGAACGTTTCTTCAGTATAGATACCCAAGTGTTGCACGTGTCTGATTTATCAACTAGTCAGTTCTCTGAACCATTTATCAAAGACAGAGTGAGGTGTCAGTGACGTTGGTGACCTGAAGAATGTAATATTGGCGTCATGTGACTCCTGTTAGAAGTGATTAAGGTCCCAGGACCGAAACGTTTTCTAATAAACATGTCCTAGTGTCTGTTTGCATGTTTTTCTAAACCAACATGTCGGTATCTATTACCAGGGTTTACACTACACCATCTGTAGACTTCCATTTACATCTTCCATCTGTATGCTTCAGTTATATCTCCTTGAATTCTACGCTCCTTCAGAATCCAATATATTACCTTCACCTTGTCTTCGTAAGAAAGATTTCTGATGCAGGAATTTAACTTACCCTTCTCTATATATTTTCCAGTGCGTTTATGTCCATTCTTTAATATGGAGACCACAACTGTACTATTACACAAGTACTGTTATCATATACAGTAACATGTGTGTAAATTACAAAGTGACTTATTGGGTTGAAGTATAGCTCCAGGATTTCTATTATTTATACTTCTTGTAAAGTAAAAGGACACAAGTGCAACTAATGTGACATTTTATTGTGGCAACATTTCGCTCTCCAGGAAATTTGTCAAGGTCCTGGAGAGCGAAACGTTGCCACAATAAAATGTCACATTAGTTGCACTTGTGTCCTTTTACTTTACGTATTGTCGGTAATTCTACCAACTTTATTACACTATTTATACTTATTGATACGAAGCTAAGAATTATGGAGGTTCGTTGGGAACACAGACGCACTTTGTTATGGTTTTATATTACTACTAAATCTTTTATCTAATTCAGTTTGATTGAGATCTACTTTACTTAGATATAGGTGCCATAGTTATTTTTTTCCACAGGAATAGAAACTTATATTTTTTTTTTTAAACATGGGTCGTTTCTGACCAAGGCAGGGTGACCCAAGAGAGAAGAAACACTTTCATCATCACTCACTCCATCACTGCAATTAAACCGCATCTGTGCCATTTTTGGGACCATTTCTCTGTCATCCTTCCCCTCGTCCCTCCTTCTCCCTCCCTCATCACTCCTTCATCCCTTCCTTTTCTCTCCTCTCTTCCCCATTATTCCTCCTCACACCCCTTCCCTTGGGTCTCCAGTTCACTGTTCCGCTCTCTCCTTCTTCACCTCTTTCCCTTTACTTCTTAGTTAACTCCTCCCTGTGTCCCTTCCCTCACCCCTCCCCGTTTCCCTTCTCTCACCCCTCCCTGTGTCCCTTCCTTCACCCCTCCGTGTCCCTCCCTTCACCCATCCCTGTGCCCCTTCCCTCTCACCTCCCTGTGTCCCTTCCCTCACTCCTCCCTGTGTCCATTCCTTCACCCCTCCCCGTGTCCCTTCCCTCATCCCTCCCTGTGTCCCTTCCCTCACCCCTTCCCTATTAGTGAATTAATTCAGGTCCGAAGTTTATCTTCCCAGCATCCTTATCTCTTCCAGGGGGATGCTCGTGATGGTGGTGATGGTGGTGCTGGTGATGGTGGTGATGGTGGTGCTGGTGATGGTGGAGATGGTGGTGCTGGTGATGGTGGTGCTGGTGGAGCCGGTGATGGTAGTGGATGTCCAGGAAGGACCACTGCTGACAGTGGGCGGGGTCAGAGCATCATTGGCCAACAGTGGACAATTATTGAAGGATAATCGCCTTGTGGGAACACTTCCGACAGCCATCTTACCTTCTGGGTCAGTCAGGCTTAAGTCCTTAATAAGATTCTCTTTACTTGTGATCAAGAGAAGACGGGGTAGACCACTGGCGTCAGGTCTAGCCCTGCACGCCTTCCCTTGCAACCTTCCCCACGCCCTCCCTTGCAACCTTCCCCACGCTCTCCCTTGCAACCTTCCCCACACCCTCCCTTGCAACCTTCCCCACGCCCTCCCTTGCAACCTTCCCCACGCTCTCCCTTGCAACCTTCCCCACGCCCTCCCTTGCAACCTTCCCCATGCCCTCCCTTGCAACCTTCCCCACGCCCTCACTTGCAACCTTCCCCAC